GAAGGCACTCCAGCATAGGAGAGATGATCCAGTGTACTGCAGTGGGGAGCAACTAGTCCAGTTTGGAACACGCTTGATATTTCCAGGTTAGAGACAATACAGGATGCTATATCCAGAAGCACTCTTCCTCTGGAGTGAACATGTGGGCCCAGTGAAGGCTGGGGCATCCCCTCGTGTTGATGACACCCACAGGGATGGTGCATGGCTGAGTGGGAGCAATGAGAGAAGGAAGTGTGCTCCTCCCCGTACATCTCCTCACCAACATCCTGGCAAGAGTCTTCTCCCTGTACTCTACAAGAAATAAGAAAATGAACTCTGCCTAAGTAAGAGGCATTCTATATGCACATTCTTGTAAATGTTTGTAGAGTGACCCTGGAAGGGTACACAAGAAGTGGTCACAGTGGTTGTTTCTGGGGAAGAGAAATATGGAGGCCTACTTCCCACTGTGTATCTCCTTTTGTATTTGTGTCATATACAAAAATAAAAATGAAAGAGAGAGACACACATACACCCAGTCCCCTAAAAAGAAAGTAGGAGGCTATTGCAGTAGTTGGGCCTGGAATTGAGGGCAGCTTGCACTAAGGTTATAGCAGCACAGATGGAGAGCGAAGGGGATAGATTTGAACTAGACTGGAGGAAAGTAGATGGCATAGTTGTGCTCAATGTCCTCCAGGTGCTCACACGCTACAGGAAGACACAGTGGAGAAATATAATGGGAGTTCATGTAGGGACCCTATGTCTGTCCTGAGGGAGACAGGGATTGTGGTCACAGGCCTATCCATGTCAGACACTGAGGCTGCCTGTGTAAGTCCTGATGGTTGATACTGGCTCTGATCAGGTGTTGCCTTGGAGCTGTACCAGAAATGGACCCCACTGGGCTGGCAGAGCTGAACAGGGACCACTCCCTGTACCCACTCTATTTTTATATCCCACTCTGGAGCCCTGCCCTGACTTCTCTGTGGTTCCTGGGCACTTGTCCTTCAGCTCTGATGCTGAGCATCTCTCCTTCGCAGGTGGCCAAAACGAAGCAGCAAATCGAGGAGCAAAGGGTGCAAGTGCAGGTGGTGGAGCGGTCCCAGCAGGTGGCAGTACAGGAGCAGGAGATAGCCCGCAGAGAAAAGGAGTTGGAGGCCCGTGTTCGGAAGCCTGCGGAAGCTGAGCGATACAAGCTGGAACGCCTGGCAGAGGCAGAGAAGTAAACGCCCCCTCCCGGGCTCCTCCTGGGCTCCTTCACCTGGGTGCCCCCAGATGAAGAGCTGAGGCCTTCAATACCTGGACTCCTGTGGTAGGAGCCTCTACCGCCAGCACGGGACCTTTCTCTCAGAAGCAAGGGCCTCAGCTTCTTCCTCCACTCCCCTTGTTTGCCCAGGTCCCAGCTGATTATGCAGGCAGAGGCAGAAGCTGAGTCTGTGAGGGTGAGTTAGGAGGTGGCTCTCTCTGGTTTGTGGGGAGTGGGCGTTGCTGATGAGCTGCTGGGGTTTCTTGCCCTTAACTGCTGCCATTAGTATCACAGTATCCTGTATCCTCCTTAGATGCGGGGAGAGGCTGAGGCCTTCGCCATTGGGGCCCGGGCCCGGGCTGAGGCGGAGCAGATGGCCAAGAAGGCAGAAGCGTTCCAGCTGTACCAGGAGGCTGCTCAGCTGGACATGCTGCTAGAGAAGCTGCCCCAGGTCTGGGGTTTGTGTGCTGGGTGCCAGAACCAGGGCAGGGAACCATAAACTAGGGGTGGGAGTTATAAACCAGTGACCAAAGCGAGGAAGAATGATCAGTAGGATGGAGGTCTGTAAAAACCTGGGGTAAGTAAGGCATTTTAGGAGGGGTGTGACGGATCTCAGGTGCTAAGTGGCTGTCTTACTTCCCAGGTGGCAGAGGAGATCAGTGGTCCTTTGACCTCTGCCAAAAAGATCACACTGGTGTCCAGTGGAAGTGGGGCCATGGGGGCAGCCAAAGTGACCGGGGAAGTCCTGGACATCCTGAGCCACCTGCCGGAGACTGTAGAAAGACTCACTGGTGTCAGCATCTCCCAGGTGAGGGTCTCCAGGGTCGGGGCTGTGGAGCAGAACCACTGGGTTCCTGGGGTATGTGATGCAGTACAAAGAAACTGAACTCCAACATGTTAAGTACCTTAGTTCGTGTCATACAGCCAGGGAAGTTCAGCTTCCAAAACCCAGGCTGACTGTCTAGTACCAGGAACTAGCAGCAGTGTGTTGACAATTCCAAGGCATACCACTGATTTTCTTGGTGCCTATATCTTCACCTGAAAGTTATGGTAGTCAGACAGAAGGCTCTGAAACCAGACTGTTTTGGTGTGAATCCTGACTCCAGTGCATACTATGACCTCAGTAATTCTCAACTTCTCTATACCTGTCTCCTCACAGGTTAATACTAGCAACTAAATGAGTCATATTTGCAAAGTGTTTAGAACACTGCCTGGCATATAGTGTGTGTGTACCATAGAAGAGGGTGTTAAATTTTTAAAAAGAAATACACACACATATTGGACCATTTCATTGACCTTCAACCTGGGTTCCTTGGGCTTCTTTGAGGCCTGTAGTGGACTATGAGCTATGGAGGGTCTGTTCCAGAAAAAATAGCAGATTCCTCACTGTGCTCTACACCAGAAACCAATAAATAATAAATGTAAACTATACTTGGTGGGGAGGGGGAACTGGAAGACTCCTGGTTGTGCATGTCCTCCATGTAACCCTTTTATCCAGTTGGAGCCTGGGAGAACATGGCATCTGATTCCCATGTCATCCACTGTTTTTTTTTGCCAGGTAAACCACAAGCCTTTGCGAACAGCCTGAGCCCTCAACCTTTGCAGACACCTAGCTTCATGGTTCAAGTTGCCTGAATGGTCCCCATATTGCATGCACTTCAACTTGCCTCCCAGAGCATGTCCTTTAACAGAGGGATTCCACCTTTCATCTATCTCTCCTTGCCAAATAGCCTGTGCCTTGCCTTGGAAGAGAAGGGTTGCTCCCCTTCCCAGGCCCACACCAAGACTGCCATCCCAAGAGTTCCATGCCAGCATTCTGATAACCCCACCGCACCCCAACTTCTGAATTAAACTACACTGAGCCTGTTGTCTGGAATTATTTTCTGTCCAAGACAGGGATAGCTGGAGGTTCTCAACTTGTCAGATAAGTTGCTGTTAAGTATTTATACTTGAACAATTAAAACAACTCATTCAAAATGAATGCTAGAATATAGCTTGCTCCTTCCAGTTGGCTGTTAATGGGAGTTACTTGTACAGTTAAGAGTTGTAGATTGAATTCCTCCCCCCACAAAGTTGATTTAGTCCTCATGGACAGAAAGCATGCTGATGTGAAAGGAATGTGAGAATTCCATTAGTCCCTAGAATTACTGAAAATATGGCCAAGGGAAACTGGATTTAAATTTCCTGGGTTGCTTTGAGACATCTTGTACGATTTGAAAGCATGAGATAGTAAGTGTAGTATTGTGTTTAAAATGGGATCATAATGTGGCATCCCATACTAATTACCTTGACCTTATATTGACAGAAATCCCGCATGGTTACAGAAGCAAAATACTCAGGAATCCTGGATGTGCTCTGCATTAGCAGTGAAGCAATAGTGGCCTCTAACAGCATTCATGAGATTCTTCAGGAACAGCTAAGACTGCTGGGATCCAACCTGGCTTTGGTTCAGTACATTGTATGAGGCCCGAGAACCTGCAATTCTATAGGTTCCAAGGTGCTACTGATTTAGGACTACATATGCACCATTTCACATTCACAATTCTTCCTCAATTCCTAGATCCTGCATCTGAGCTCCGTCTATCTCAGCTAAGACTGCTAATGATGCTCAGGCCAGTATGGCTCGGTTGGGCATTATCCTGCAAACCAAAAGGTCTTGGGATCAGTTCTTGGTCAGGGCACATATCTAGGTTGTGGGTTAGGTTTGGTCCCCAGTCAGGGCACATAGAGGGGCAACCAATCTATGTTTCTTTGTTCCCCTCTTTGAAGGAGACTGGTACTGGTCGGGGTGGGGGTGGGCCGGGTTAGGTACCAGGGATTAAGACATGAAGATCAATTAAGTACTAAGGATATTCTTATCAATTCATGGAGAATACAGTATATGTGTAAGTGAACCAGCCACCTAAACGAGCACAAGTCTTGCAATTTTTTTCAATTTCCATTTATTTTTGGCCCTTGCTGCAATGTCATTTTTTCAATATGAAAAAAAGCAAGTTCAAGACTAAACAAATTTGAAGCATAGGATGGGCCCACATCAAGGAGGGTAGGAGCAATAGCAAAAGAAATGAGACTTTGCCAAAAGACAGAGGGTGTCCTGTCCCCTTCTCCTCCAGGGAATAACTCCAACATTTAGGTGGCAGTACATACCTATTCACACACATACCAGACTGCTATTTCTTAAAAGGGTAAGAAATGGTCAAAATGGGGAGGGCCTTTCTGGAGGCTTAGGGACCAAGGCTAGTCACTCTTCTCCCTTTACCTCCTCTATCCAGAGAAAGGATGCAATTAATGTGAGAGGTAAAGCGGAAGAGGAAAGACAGAGGCTGTTCTCCGTCAAGTGGACAGAGAACCCCTACAAAGGAAATTAACTCAGAACAAAGCTTAAGAGACTGAAAATTGAGTTAATACTGTTCATACCTTTCCCAACGCTGAGAGCGGAGGAGCAGGGAATAATACCTAGAAACTAGAACAGCCCAAATCCCTCTCCAAAACTGCTCTAGAATGGGAAACCCCACCCCTTCCCTGTAAGGGACTTCTACCTGCTAGAATTAGCACCAGTCCGTTTCCGCTCGGCAACCACATGGGCTTAGGGTGGTATTTTTCAGCACACAGTCCTAAATGGGATCTGGATGAGACTCAGTTTCTTGGAGAATTATCTTGAAAACAGAGAGGGGAATATTAACTGGACAGATGGGAGGAATGGGTACCAGAAAGAAATACAAGATTACCCAAAATGGCAGAAATGTAAGTTTCCCAGAGTGGAAAGAGAGAGGAGACATTCAACAAGCAACGAATATTTATTGAGTGCCTATGATGTGCCAAGCACTGTTCTAGAACACCCCTAAAAGAATAAAAGAGGCAGAAGATGCAAATTCTGAGGGAGAGTAAAGGGGCAGGTGAGGACAAAGGCTAAAGGAACTGAGAAGCCTGAGTGATGGATGTGGCCTTAAGCCTCCTCTTCCGCCTCCTCACCGAAATCCTCCTCCTCTTCTGCGGTGGCGTCCTGGTATTGCTGGTACTCGGAGACAAGGTCATTCATGTTGCTCTCAGCCTCGGTGAACTCCATCTCGTCCATGCCTTCACCCGTGTACCAGTGCAGGAAAGCCTTCCGGCGGAACATGGCTGTGAACTGCTCTGAGATGCGCTTGAACAGCTCCTGGATAGCCGTGCTGTTGCCAATGAAGGTGACTGCCATCTTCAGGCCACGGGGTGGGATATCGCAGACAGCTGTCTTGACGTTGTTGGGGATCCACTCCACAAAGTAGCTGCTATTCTTGTTTTGCACATTGAGCATCTGCTCATCCACCTCCTTCATGGACATCCGCCCACGGAAGACAGCAGCCACGGTGAGGTACCGGCCATGGCGGGGGTCACAGGCAGCCATCATGTTCTTGGCATCAAATACCTGCTGGGTGAGTTCTGGTACAGTGAGAGCCCGATACTGCTGGCTTCCACGGCTGGTTAGAGGGGCAAAGCCAGGCATGAAGAAGTGGAGGCGTGGGAAGGGGACCATGTTGACTGCCAGCTTACGAAGGTCAGCATTGAGCTGGCCAGGGAAGCGGAGGCAGGTGGTGACCCCACTCATGGTGGCTGAGACAAGGTGGTTCAGATCCCCATAGGTTGGCGTGGTCAGCTTGAGGGTGCGGAAGCAGATGTCATATAGAGCCTCATTATCAATGCAGTAGGTCTCATCAGTATTCTCTACCAACTGATGGACAGAGAGGGTGGCGTTGTAGGGCTCAACCACAGTGTCAGACACTTTGGGTGAAGGTACAACACTGAAGGTGTTCATAATGCGATCAGGATACTCCTCACGGATCTTGCTGATGAGCAAGGTGCCCATTCCAGAGCCTGTGCCCCCACCCAGTGAGTGGGTCAGCTGGAAGCCCTGCAGGCAGTCACAGCTTTCAGCCTCCTTCCGCACCACATCCAGGACTGAGTCAACCAGCTCAGCCCCCTCTGTATAGTGGCCCTTGGCCCAGTTGTTGCCTGCCCCAGACTGACCTGGAATGAGGTCGGGAAGCAAGCTTGGTTAGTAAAGTGGTACATACACAATCACCTTTCAACTCTTGGAATAATACCCATGGATCTATCTTCATTTTCTTCCTCACCTGTGATATATCCCCCCACCCAAAGTTTACCATGTAAGGCAGTCACTCCCGCAACCCTCCATTAGAGATTTCAAGACATGGCCCTATAAAAACTCTCCAATACAATAATCATTTTCTAACTCTATCTGTCCTCCTGTACCCACATAAATCAAATATGATGGTTAGCTACAAATATCTATATCTATATAACTTACCAAAAACAAAGTTGTCTGGTCTGAAGATCTGGCCAAAAGGACCTGAGCGAACAGAGTCCATGGTACCAGGTTCCAAATCCACCAAGATAGCTCGAGGAACATATTTTCCACCTACAGGTAAGTAAAATAGAGGAGTGAAAATTAGCAGAAAGTAAATAAATTGGGACTAGGTAACAGCCAGGAACCCAAATTTGTTATTCCAGGTGCTGCTGCTAGGTGGCAGCAGAGCTAGTCTTTGGCCCCCATGGTGAGAAATTAAACAGAAGAAAAGTCTCCAAAGGGAAAGGATGGATTCATCCAAGGAGGATAAAGGGTTCCCTAGGAATGGAAAGAGACCGCAAAAGTAGGAGAGATGCGACCTGATCTTCCCAGGCTCATTCCCTCACCTGTGGCTTCATTGTAATACACGGAGATTCGATCTAGCTGCAGGTCGCTGTCCCCGTGGTAGGTGCCAGTAGGGTCAATGCCATGTTCATCACTGATCACCTCCCAGAACTGTGGGGAAAGCGAAATGAATCCTCACTGCTCAGATCTCAGCCAATTATGCCCCTGATTCCATCGCTTTAATTCCAGACACACTGTTCTAGGATCTGGCATCCCCTTGAACTGCCTGCCACGCCCCTCCCCTAAAAACCCCTACCTCCCGGAAAGCCGACTTGGGATGTGAAATGACGTCCAGCTGGAAGGGCCCTGCAATTTCAGGCACTGGTGGGGTGGACTGAGGCAGCCCACCTGATTACGTAGGCTCACCTACGCAGGGCATATAGGGCAAGTAGTAACCAGCTGCCGCAATTGCCCACCCCAAACCTCCACGCGACTTCAGCACAAGAGCGCGCGCAAAGCCTCTGACAAAAGGCAGGCGTCGTGTGTGGGCGGGGCCAAGGCGCGAAATCACCTCGGGAGGGACCCGGCCTAGCTCGAGCTAGCGCGCCCCCTAGTTGCCCGCAGGGCTGCAGTGTCTGCCTGGCGGGGGCCTGCCGCTGTTGCGACTAAGTGGCCGCACTTCCTCCACCCCCTAAACCCCACCCTGCTACATTGTAGCCGCGCGCGCGCGCGGGGAGGAAGAAAAAAAAAAAAAAAAAAACTTCGCCCCGGAATATTATCCCTTGGCTAGCTTTCACTCTCCTCTTCCTTTAAATGAGGATTCTCTTCTTTTCTCCCACTATTATTTAGTCCCAAGAGATCCTTTAAAGAAAAGGACCCCTTTTTCTATCTTATTCAAGCCCCTAAAAGGGTCTCTTTAAGGGGAAATAAAGGCCGCAAAATGAATCCAGCTTATATTAGTTTTCCATCCACAAAAAACTATTGGCCTGCCACTCGAGCATCATGGGGTTCAGCGGAGACCCTCGTCTTTTGTGAAGGTAGCGCACAGTGCCCCGCACACTGGCGCACTGCGTCCGCAGCTCTGCAGCTGCTCCCCCAGCCTCAACCCTTCCCCCACTGGCTTGGCCTAGGAAACCCCGCCAAGGGTTTCCACATGTAGGAACCTCGCCTTGCTTTGTTTCAGCCAGTTTCGGCATCTCCCTCTCTCCCCAGCCCTCGGACCGTTAGGAGACTCCCTTTAAGTAAAACCTTCAGAACCTCGGTCTTCCCGCCCCACAAACCTCAAGAGTGCTATCGATACCTTCCCTAAAACGACTCTGCCAAGAAAAATAATTCCCACTTTTCAAAAGCAAATTCTAGCTATAATTGTATTGCACATATAAAATTTCTTTTTGGCAAAGTTTGGTTAAGGCTGGAGAGTGCAAACAGCCCACAACCATTCTCCATAGTTTATCTGGGTGTTTTTTTCTTTTCAAAAAGAAATATATTTAAAAGAGGTTTAAAATCCTTACCTTGGCACCGATCTGGTTGCCACACTGACCCGCCTGGATGTGCACGATTTCCCTCATGGTTCAAATTAAAAAATTTTTGCTCGCCTCAAAAAAATGGGGCAAGAAAAAATGTAATTTTTTTTTCTCTGCTGCTGCTCACAGGCTGGTAGAATAAGACTTGCCCCGGAGGCTGGAGCAGCGCGGTCCGAACGCAGCGACAGGAAGGTTCTGAGAGGGAGAAAGGAGAGGGCAGGGCTCGGGAGGGAAGGCGAGCAGGGCGGGGCGCGCGTGCGCCTGCGGGGAGGCGGGAGACGGGCCCGCGCAGCGCTCCTAGACAAAGCCTCGGTGAGGCTGGCCCTGATTAGTCGACGCCGGTCAGGTAGCCGACGATCATTGGTCTTTGCTCTGGTGAACTAGTACAGTCCTCTCTGGGAGTTGTAGTCCTCCATTGTTGAACACAAGGCAAAAATGAAGGGAGGAATGAGTAGTTTGGGGATTTTGGTTATTGGCGTTTAATGAAAATGACCTTACTCAAGATAACTTTCCTCTAAGCCCGAGGTTTTTTGTGTTTTTTTTAATGCAAAAAGGCAGTCGTTTAAGGGGCTGCAGGAATTGGGAACCTTAGGGTGCCAGGCGTTGGCAAGTGGAGTGGCCACGCCCTGAAAGCTTCCCTCTGCGGTAGCTCTAGGGAAAGATTGGACTGCTTAGCTCAGCGAAAACTGGGGAGAAACGTGGCACACAGCTCTGCTATCTAACAACTGGCCTTTTGGTAATGGAAGGCATGAACACTAAACCGCTGCTCCCCAGATACCTCAGGAAGAAGAGGTTACCTTCCTGCTATTTCCTTGGGAGTTTTCTCATGATAATATTTAGAAAGAGAAACAAAATTGCAGAAGGACATTGCAGAATAGAGATGTAATTGTGTGGATCGTATGTTCAAAGAATAAATGGAATGGTTTAGAGAAGCTGATATCTGGGATCTGTGAAGCCGGAAATCTCTGTCCCTGTAGATCTGGACCTTAGAGCAGCATTGAAGAATCTGGTTTTGTCAAACAGAACTATGGGATGAGATCACTTGCCAGAATTTCATTGTCTTTCCAGCATGCCTTTAGACACTTTGATAAAGTCACTAGTTTTTCAGTTCGCTGATTTTACTTAGTGACTGGCAATTGCAACCTTTCAAGAGCCTCGGGATTTAAATTTTATAATGGGTGAGGGGGTATTCATGGGATAAAATTGGATGGGCCCAAATCAAAGTGGCACTTTTTTTCTCTGGAATTAATTCACTTGATATTGAGTGTCCTGCAAAAGAGGAGCTAGGGATACAAAAATGATTATGAATTAGCTCCCTGGCCTCCAGGACCTTGCAGTTTGATGAAAAGTGTATGAACAATGGAGTGTGGTAAGCACTGTAATAGAGGACATATCAAGGTCTTCACTGTTAGTTCACATTGGATTCAATATACATCTCTCAGTCATCTTATAAATAAAAGAACATTAGACCCCGGCTGGTGTGGCTCAGTGGATTAAGTGCTGGCCTGAAAACCAAAAGGTTGCCAGCTCCATTCACACACCTGGGTTGCAGCCCAGGTCCTCAGCTGAGGGCATGGGAGAGGCAACCAATAGATATTTCTCTCCCTCTTTCCCTTTCCCCTCTATAAAAATGTATAAATAGCCCTGGCTGGTGTAGCTCAGTGTATTGAGCATGGGCTGTGAACCAAAGCATCGCAGGTTCGATTCCCAGTCAGGGCACATGCCTGAGTTGCAGGCCACAGCCCCCAGCAACCTCACATTGATGTTTCTCTCTCTCTCTTTCTCCCTCCCTTCCCTCTCTAAAAATAAATAAATAAAATCTTTTTAAAAAGTGTATAAATAAGCCCTGGCTGGTGTGGCTCAGTGGATTGAGTGCCAGCCTGTGAACCAAAAGGTCGCTGGTTCAATTCCCAGTCTAGGGCACATGTCTAGGTTGCAGGTTAGGTACCCAGTGGGGATGGTGCGTGAGGCAGTCACACGGTGTTTCTCTCCCTTTTTTAGAAAGAAAAATGTATAAATAAAACCTCTAGCCCCTGGCTGGCGTAGCTCAGTGGATTGAGCGTGGGCTGGGAACCAAAGTGTCCCAAGTTCAATTCCCAGCTAGGGTACATTCCTGGGTTGCAGGCCATAACCCCCAGCAACCACACATTGATGTCTCTTTCTCTCTCTCTCTCTCTCTCTCTCTCTATCTCCTTCACTTCCATCTCTAAAAATAAATAAATAAAATATTTAAAAAAAAAACTTTAAAAAACATTAAGTTGTGTAAGAAGACCCCTCTCCCCACTATAAAATGGAATTTTAAAAAAATGTTTTAGGGCATGATCACAATGCAAGTTATTTTTGTGGCAGTGAAGTTTAGAATTTAGAATCAAAGGACTTGTCTCTATTTGTCTCTACCGAACCTAGCAAAGTCACTTAACTTAGCAGAGCTTCATTTACCTCTGTAAAAATCTACTTCTGAAACCAGAAAAGACACCAGCGTTCGGTCTGCCTGTCACTATCAAACCCAATAAGCAATGACAACGATTGAATCTTTATAGGCGCTTTATTCAGAAGGCCAGTGATCTGAGAAGATGGTGGGTTCAATACCCTAACAGACCATCTTCCCTTTTCTTTCCAGGCCAAGATTTTTATAGCAGGCAATAAACGAGGTACAATAAGGGGTTTTGAAATTCGGGGAGGGTCAGGTAGAAGAAACTGCAACATTCCTGTCCTACGCAGTTAGCTACTTCCAGGGGTGGATGGTTGTCTGTCTCTCCCTGAAACACAAAGGCCCAGATGCCTCCACTTGTCCCCAGGCAGTAATCTTTAGCAGTGCCCCAGGAGGTCGGCTGTTTTTTCAAGACCCAGGATGGGCCTGATCTGTAGTTTCTGAAACAAAAACTTTAACATATACGTTACTTACTAGGCTTATAACTATTTACCTTAAACTAAAGTTTTCCAACTCTTAAGTCCCCTATCACTCCTACCTATTGGATTTTTTTGTCAGAATGAAGTGAGGTAGTGAATGAAAAAAGAACTCTACATTATACACAAGTCAAACTGTTACTATTCTTTTCTTGTCTTAGTATGACATAACAAAATAGATTATTTTATCCTTCCTTCACTTCTTGAAAGAACTCGATCGGCCTTTAAGAAGGCTAGGGATCTTGGCTTTAGGAAAACGACCTCAAAATATCCATCAGGGCTGTATTCTCAGGGAGGAAGTGACATGAAAAACAAATCAAAGGAAATGAACTTCCCACTGCAATGAGTCCTCAAACGCCACGCCTGCGGGCTGTTCTCCAAAATACAGCCTCCCGCCACGACAGCAATCTGCAAGCCATTTTCATTTCCGTGACTCAGCAACCACCATATTTGGAAAAAACTAGGAAGGGCACTCTGGACGCACCAGAAACTTCAGACGACTACTACGGTAAGCTCCTCTAGGCGCCGCCTGCAGCAAGACTCTCTGGTCGCCGATTGGATATCTGCGCGGGAAGTGGGCAGTGGGTCCTGGGTGGATCCTTGGAACTGTCCAATCGAGTTACGCTATTATGTGCGCGCACGACGACCGCTGCCTCTCTCAATCCGTCTCAGGCACGCGAGGAGCTGCCCCTTTGAGCTGTAGGGGGCGGGGCGGGGAAGGGGTATTGGCTGTTGGCTGTGCCTCCGCATTGTCGGCTTGCCGCGGAACTGTGAAAGACAGCGACTGGAACCAATCAGCGAATCAGCTCCGACCAAGGCTGGCGCGCTCGCGCCAACGGGTCGCGGCCGTTACTAGTGGCGCGCGCAGAGACTCAAAGTAGGTGACTTCTGGGGGTCCGCGCCCGCGCTGCTGGGGTGCCATCTTGTTTCTCTGGGGGGTGGGAGGGGCATGCCTTGGGTGCGACTGGGTGGAGGAGATTTGGAAGTCTCTTCTCGGATTATAATACTCATCCTTACTTGACGCCCCGCCCCGAGTTTAGGTATGAGGACACTTGGGAGACCGTTGGGCCCGGAGGGAACCTGCCATGTTGGGGATCAAAGGTGGTGGCCTATTGGGTTGGAGCCAAGGGTCTTGGGCACCCGCAGAGTTCGCCAGTCATAAGGACAGAGTCAGCACTATCTCCATTGGAGGCCTCCCAATTTCCCTATCAATGGTTTCTCCCTAGGGTGGCACCTTTCTAAGTGAATTCCAACCATAATTCCTATTACGAGTTTTTATCCACTTCCATTGGTTCTTTCATCAATAGGTTCGGTGATGTAACCTCCAGGAGGGCAGGGTTAATTTTATGTTTGGTTCGTGAATGTGTCTCTAATACTTTGAACGGTACCAGGTGCGGAATAACTACTGTTGAGCGAACATGATGGGCTGTACAGGAAAAGACACAGTTCTGCTGGTCCAGTTCTCCAGGGGGTATGTGAAGGCAGAAATGGTTACAATATGGTGAGAAGTGTCGGGATAGATACAAATCCATTGACTACGGTGGAACACATGAATACATTAGGAACACCAGAAAGTGGGGAAGACTCCAGGAAAGGCTTTGCCGAGGAAGTGACCTTTGAACTGAGTGGGAAAGAATAGGTAGGAGTCAGACCGAAAACTAGGAGCCAAGAGCCAAGGAGCGGCCGAAGGCATGCAGATGTGGGGCAATGAGGACAGTGTGTTCAGAGATTGAGAAGGCGGCCCATGTGGCTTTTTGGGGTGGGAGAGGGCGAGGAATGCACTGAGGTCGTCAAGTTCAGATCATGTTGGCTCTTGCTAAGGAGTTTAAATTTTATTTTATTCTGAGAGCATGGAAAGCCATCGAAGAATATTAAACAGAGGAGAGACGTTATCTGGATGATCTTGGGCGAGGTGCTTAACCTATCTGTGTTGCAGTTTCTTTAGCAAAGAAATAGAACATAATAATACTTTACAGTGTTCTTTAGATAATTAATTGAGTCAGTTTATTCTGATCACACTGGGATTGCCTAAAGTGTAAGAAGCATGGACTTTGAAGCCAAAAGCACATTTATTCCTGCCCTTTACATTTACTTGATGTTTTACTGTGAGCAAATACTATTTTTAGCCTTAGTTTCCTAAATGCTGGCCTCATATGGCTACTATGCCTGACACGTAACACAATTACCAACACATAGTTGATGCTTGGCAAAAGTTACCTTACTTTAAACTGGTGTTTTTCAAACTATGAGTTGCAATCCAATAGTGAATATTGAAATCAATTTAGTGGGAAGCAAATCAGCATGTAAAAATAGAAAATAGAAAAAAAATGAAAATTATCATATATAGTAAGGCTAACCATTGTTTCTCAAAATGTCTATATAAATGTGTTAAGTGTGTTTTATTGATTATGCTATTACAGTTGTCCTATTTTTTTTTCTTCCATTTATCCCCCTCCACCAGCATTCCCCCCCTCTTATTCATGTCCATGGGGGGGTACATGGACCATTTCCCATACTATCCTTAACCTCCCCCTGTCTATTTTGTACCTGTCATTTATGCTTCTTATTCCCTGTACCTTTTCCCTCACTCTCCTACCTCCCCCTCCCTGGATAACCCTCCATGTGATCTCCATTTCTGTGACTCGGTTCCTGTTCTAGTTGTTTGCTTAGTTTGTTTTTGTTTTATGTTCAGTTGTTGATAGTTGTGAGTTTGTCACCATTTTACTGTTCATAGTTTTGATCTTTTTCTTAGATAAGTCCCTTTAACATTTCATAAAATAAGGGCTTGGTGATGATGAACTCCTTTAACTTGACCTTATCTTGGAAGTGCTTTATCTACCCTTCCATTCTAAATGATAGCTTTGCTGGATAGATATTTGTTGGATAGAACCCTAGGTTGTGCAGTCTGTCTTGCTTTCCAGTTATTCTTCCTGGCTTACCTGCATGAGAAGGTGGGACCCCCTGTCCGCCAACTGCCACCTTGCTGCACGTCCTCTCCACCCCAGCTGCCTCTCTCCACCCTCCCTACCAGTCTGAATGAATATTTCTTCTTTAACTCCTTGGTTGTCAGACTTCCATACAGTTCAAATTTCTGGCAGTTCTGGTTGCTTTTTGTTTTTAAATTGGTTGTTATCTTTCTTTTGGTTGTGCGAGGAAGCAAAGCATGTCTGTGTATATCTCCATCTTGGCCAGAACCCCAGTATGTGTGTGTGGTTTGTTGTTTGTTTGGTTTTTTTTTTAAGATTTTGTGTATTTATTTTTAGAGAGGGGAATAGAGGGAGAAAGAGAGAAACATCAATTTGTGGTTGCCTCTGTGTACCCTCTACTGGGGACCTAGCCTGCAACCCAGGTATGTGCCCTGACTAGAAATTGGACCAGTGACCCTTTGGTTTGCTGGGTGGCACTCAATCCACTGAGCCACACCAGCCAGGGCAATATGTGTATTTTTATATACAGGTATTCTTCAGGCTGTGATTTTTTGACTTTACAGTATTGCAAAAGTGGTATACATAATAAATTACATGAGATATTCAACCCTTTATTATCAAATAGTGTTTGTGTTAGATGATTTTGCTCAACTGTAGGCTGATGTAAGTGTTCTGAGCACTTTTAAGGTAGGCTAAGCTAAACTATGATGTTGGGTAGGTTAGGTGTATTAAGTGCATTTTCAGTTTATGGTTTTCTTAGGATGTAACTGTAAGTTGAGGAACATCTACTTGTAAACTTGGGACTTTATGATTTTTTTATTCTGTGTCATAGTCAAAAATGTTTTTTCACTGCTTTAGAAGGTTAACAACAGAATGCTTGGCATAATGAGAAGCATCAAACCCTGTAACTATCCAGGTCTACCCCCAGTTGTGAGTCTCCTTGCTAAGACTGTGTGTGAGCCAATGATAGAAATGATGGCAGTGTGTTTCCTTCCCAGATCATGGAGGATACTCAGGCTATTAACTGGGAGGTTGAAGAAGAGGAAGAGACAGAGAGACCCAGTGACTCATTGGGGAGTAGCCTGGAGCCCTTAGGGCGACTGCATATCTTCAGTAGTGTCCATGGACCAGAAAAAGGTCAGGGGGTATGGATACTGCTATAGGCCTCTTATTTTTGTGGGGAGGTAGTTGAAGGGTTGTAAGAAGTTTGTATATGTTTCACAGGTATCTGAAAAAACTTTTTGCTGGGAATAGAGAAGAGGGGGCTGATTGACTTGACTGTTCCAGGCAAGGTCTCTGGACTCACTGGGGGTGATTTTACTGTACACTTAAAAATGGTTAAAATGCTTTATTTTATGTATATTTTATAACAATAGAAAATCTACATGGATGGGCGGGTGTTAAATATGAATAATATATATATTTTTCAATACTTAAATGTCCTAGGGCCTTTTATTTTTCTAATGCATGTGGGAACTTTGAATGGGTAGCTGGGTACTTAACCCCAGAATTTTCCCAATAACAGGCCAGGAATGTGGCCTTGGAACATACCTGTCTCTCTAATTCTTAGATTTCCCACTATACCTCGGGAAGAATGTGGTAGGCCGAATGCCTGATTGCACTGTGGCCCTGCCCTTTTCAACCATCTCTAAACAACATGCAGTGATTGAAATCTTGGCCTGGAACAAGGCACCCATTCTCCGGGATTGTGGGAGCCTCAATGGTACACAAATCCTGAGGCCTCCTAAGTTTCTGAGCCCTGGGGTGAGTCATCGTCTGAGGAACCAGGAGTTGGTTGTCTTTGCTGACTTGCCCTGCCAGTACCATCGCCTGGATGTCTCCCTGCCCTATGTGTCCTGGGGCCCCCTAACTGTACAGGAGACACCCAGGGTACAAGGAGGAACTCAGCCTTGGGGGAATCTGTTGGCTGAGGACTCAGAAGAGGAAGTAGGTAAGTGTGTGTATTGGGAGGGTGGGCAAAGAGATAAGGATGGTGAAAAACTGTCAATTTACTCCTTTCTACCCTTGGCAGATCCTCTTTCTGAAAGGTACATGGTGAAAGAACCAAGGACCACATTCCCCATTTTGGCAACAGTTGTTCCAGAGAGGTAATTGCTGAAGGGCCAGATACCTGAGTCTTCCAAAAGAGGAGGAACCCCAGACTAAAGGATCCATCTCTAAGAGAGAGAATTATCATGGAAGTGAGGGCTGGGGAGCTACACATACTCTTTCACTAGCTGAATTTTCATTAAACATCTCTGATGTGCCAAATGGAAAACTAATTGCTAGAGATAGAAAAACAAATACTACCTTGTCTCTGCCCTCCAGGAGCTCACAGTTGAGTCAGGCATCCCTTCCTGGGAAATAGATTCGATATCTTTTTCTTCTCTTCCCTTCATAGTGATGAAGAGGGGCCTTCTTCTGCCCCACATGGCCCTGAGCCACCTTGTGCCTTCAACCTTGACAGTGACACAGATGAGGAAGAAAGTCCACAACCAGTAGCAGGGGAGGCCTGCTCAGCTGCTACAAGAGATGCCACTGCAGAGAAAGAGCAGCCTAAAGCTGTCGCAACTGAAATCCAGTGTGAAATGAATCAGTATTCAGGGAAGGAAAGGAACAATGACACAAGAGCCAAGAGGGATACAAGCAATGGGGTGGTTCCAGTTGGGATGATTCTTGAGAGAAGCCAACCTGTTAGAGAGGACAGTGAAACAGATGTGGAAGATGAGAGCAGGCCTCCAGGAAGGCCAGCTGAGGTTCATCTAGAAAGGGCCCAGCCTTGTGGCTTCATAGACAGTGATACTGACCTGGAAGAAGAGATTCCTGCGACCCCAGCTGTGGTTCCCGTGAAGAAGAGGCAAATCTTCCATGGTGTTAGTACAGAGAGCCTTGGGGGACCTGACCTAGCACATCTTCAAGAGAGCCTGGCTGGTAGTGACACAGATGTGGAGACTGAGGCCCCACTCACAGTCCCTCTGGTACACAGCCAAGCCTCCATGGTGATTAACAGCAATACAGATGATGAGGAAGAAGTATCAGCAGCACTCACTTTGGCACGTCTGAAAGAAAGCCATGCTGCTATGTGGAACAGAGATATAGATGCAGAAGAGGACCAGGCCCAACCTCTGGCTTTGCTTGAGCAAAGCCAAACCTCTTCTGGGAGAGACGGTGACACAGAAGTGGAGAAGGAGAAGTTCCCAGTAGAAAAGAGAGAATATGTTCCCAAGGGTCACACAGACAAAGCGCATTCAGAAAAGAGCCAACCTCCTTTTGAGGCCAGTGTTAGAGAAGTGGAAGAAGATAAGAGCTCACCTGGAGTCCACCTGGAAATAAGCCAAGCCTCTGCCAAAGTGGGCATCAGCATACAAGTGGAAGAGGAAATCCCCCCAGGATCAGCTGTTATACTTCCAGAGAAGCATCAGGTGCCTGTTGCATGGACAAATCAAACAAATGTGGAAGCAGAAAGGGGTCCAGCAAAGCTACCTGTGATGAATCTAGAGGAAGCCCGGCCTCCTCCAGGTGGGGACAGTGAAGCAGATGCTGATAAAAGAAAGAGTCAGTTTCCAACAGAAGGGGTTGCTGGGACAGAGTGGGTTGTATCTGTTCCTCAGCAGGAGGGAGCTCTTGAGGCAGGGGCCCAGGGTGAGCCACCTGTAGCACAAGTAGAGCAGGGCCATCTTGTCTCAAGGGAGAAAGTAACAGATCTCTTGGTAGACACAGGTACTCCAGGAGAACCCACCCAGCCACAGAGAAAGAGAGCCCAGCCCCCCAGAGAAAGAGGGAGAGAACCACATGTGGACACGACCAAGGACTCTGAAGACAACCATGATGGTAAGTGCTGGCCTTTCCTCTTCCCTTGACCCCTAAGATAAAGAAAGTTTATAAGGGGACTTAGTCCATTCAGGCTGCTATAAACAATACCACAGAATGGATGGCTTATAGACAATAAACCTTTATTTCTCATGGTTCTAATGGCTGGACAGTGCATGATCCAGGAAACAGCAGATTCATTATCTTAGTGAGAGCTCACTTCCTTGTTCACTGGTTGCCTGCTTCTCACTGTGTCCTTAAATGCCAGAAGGGCACAAGGGCACTCTTTGGGGTCTCTTTTATTAGGGCACTAATCCCATTCATAAGGTTTCCACCCTGAGGACCTAATTCACTTCCCAAGTGCCCTACCTCCTAATGCTATCACATTGTAGTATTAGAATAAGAATGTGGAGTGGCGGTCCTGGCTAGTATAGCTCAGTGGATTGAGCATGGGCTGTGAACCAAAGGGTCACTAGTTTGATTCCTAGTCAGGGCACATGCCTGGGTTGCAGGCCAGGTCCCCAGTGGGGGCTACATGAGAGGCAACCACACATTGATGTTTCTCTCCCTCTCTTTCTCCCTCCCTTCCCCTCTCTCTAAAAATAAATAAAATCTTAAAAAACAAAAAGAATGTGGAGTGGTATCTTCCTGAAAGCAGCCAAAAGTGACCTCTAAAAAGTGGTTTACTATTCACATGACCCAGAAAACCCCACAAAATCATGCAAATCAAGAGGTTCAACTCTTCATGTTCACTTTAAGTGAACCTGGTATGAACATGGTATGAAACTACTAGACCATCAAGGGTATGCGTATTCAGAAAGCCACCAAGTATGTGAAAGATGTAACTTCAAAGAAGCAATACGTCCCATTCTGTTGATACAATGGTGGAGTTGATAGTTGTGCCCAGGCCAGACAGTGGGGATTGACACAGGGCGAGTGGCCCCAAAAGCTAAATTTTTGCTGCATGTGTTTAAAAATACAGAGAGTAATGCTGTACTTAAGAGTTTAGGTGTAGTTGTTTTTTTTTTTTTGCTTTTTTTTTTCCACTTATTTTTTAGAGAGGGGAAAGGAAGGAGAAAGAAAAGGAGAGAAGCATCAATGTGTGGTTACCCCTCGTGTGCCCCCAACTGGAGACCTGGCCTGCAACCCAGGCATGTGCCCTGACTGGGAATCAAACCCATGATCTTTTGGGTCGTAGGCCTGTGCTCAATCCACTGAGCTACACCAGCCAGGGCTAGATATAGATTTTTAGGTCATTGAGCACATCCTGGTGAACGAAGCTCCCAAGATGCAGTGCAGAACTTACAGAGCTCGTGAGCGGGTTAACTCAGGCATGAGCTCTCCCTGTCACACTGAGATGATCTTAGTGAAAAAGAGCAGATTGTTCCTAAACCAAAAGGGAGTTTGCATGGAAGAAAAAGATATCCCAGGAGAAACTGAAGAAACAAAAACTTATGGCTGGGGAGTAAATTCACCATAAAATAAATACTAATAAAATTTTTTTTAATTTTAAAGAATGTGGGGTGGGACACACATATTCAGTCCATTGCATAGGGGTTTGATTTGGGAAGATAAAAAATAGAGAAAAAGTAAGGTATTATGGGTCAGATATGATTTTCTTATTATCCTGTCTTTCTCCCCCACCAGATTCTGAAAATCTGGACCTGCAAGCTACCCAGTGCTTTGTGGAGAGAGAGAATCAGAGCATGGAAGGTGAGAACGTCTGTGTCATGGGGATGCTGGTACATGAGCAGGAGCTGGGTGATTAGACAGGTGGCCTTTGAATGGTGTGGAAGCTGGCACAGGCAGGGCAGGAGATTGGAGTTCTCTGGAGGAGCTATGCTCAGGCCATCTTTCCTTGTGCAGCAGCCCAGAGCATGGAGGGTGAATCCACCTAGGCCTTCCCCTTTACCCCAGAAGCCTGCCCCTTCCCATGGAGGCTTCCAGGCCCCAGGTATAAGAAGCTGCCCTCTTCTGTGCCCTTAACTTCACATCATTGTTCCTTCCTCTATGTGTTTCTTTCATATTCTTTATTTGCCGATGTTTCTCCATCTTATTAGGGAAAAAAGTCATTAATTTAGAGACCCATAGAGCAATTTGTCTAGCATAACTTTTAAGAGGCTGCTGTGAGCGCTTTTATATGAAAGTATAGTCTTTTTAAAAAAATTTTTTTAAAAGATTTTATTTATTTTTAGAGAGAGGAGAAGGGTGAGAGAAAGAGAGGGAGAGAAACATCACTGTGTGGCTGCCCCTCATGTGGCCCCCACTGGGGACCTAGCCTGCAACCCAGGCATGTGCCCTGACTGGGAATCAAACCAGCTACCCTTTGGTTCACTGACCAGCACTTAATCCACTGAGCCACACCAGACAGGGCTATGGTCTTACTTTTGGAGACAAACATTAAATGTTACAGATATCCTTCTTATTCCCAGCTTTTCTTTAATAACTCATAGATTTAATATTCATTAATTTATATTAATCCTTTCTTAATCTGTTAACCTTCTCAACCTTTCTCCCTCTCTCTGACTCTACTTCCAGGTGCCCTGGATGAACCATGGGAGGTCTTGGCTACACAGTCATTCTGTCTAAGAGAATCTGAGGCCTCAGATACCCAGCCTATTGCTGCCCACCTTGAGGCCCATGGCTCTTGCCCCTTTTCACCTAGGGCAACACCTCAAGACCAACATCCAGAAAGCCCATTTCACGCAGAGCCATTGGAGATTCAAGGCAGAGGGTTGCAGACTGCAGAGAAAGGCATGAGTATACCAAGAGAATCAGCAGAGAGGGTGACTCTGGAGGGAGGGCCATTAGGGAGGGAAACCAAAAAACTGCCACTGGAAGGATTGAGAGAAAATGTGATGGGAGAGGAAGAATTAACCAGGGTGATGAAGGACAGAGAACAAAAACAGGTGTTAGCTAGAGACACTCAGAGACAAGAGTCCAATATAATGGTGAAAAGGGATATGGAGAGGTTGAAGGTAGAAATTAAAACACCCAAGGAATTACAAGAGATGGTAAAGCAGGCTCTTGCAAAAGAAGTATTTGAGAGAGAAGCAGAAAAACCAGCACCAGAGAAAAAGTGTGAGCCAGGTGGATTAGAAGTCAGCATACCCAAAGTAATACTGGAGGGAGGTACACAGAGACTAGAGACAAAGAGAGGGAGCATGAACCAGAAAGGGCAGGCCACCAGCCCAATACTGGAGCCTGCAGAAGGGGCAGGGGACCTTATGGGACTCTCTTCAGCCCTGATAGCTTCTGGGAGCCAGTCAGGTGGGAGAAGGGGAGCCCCATTAAGCCACGAGAGGTGGCAGAGAGGTAAGTGAAAGCAGAGGGGGGACCCAAGGTATCACATAGCCCTTATGGTAAACCCTAAGTAACTGTCTGTTTGAACCTCAGCTATACTTGTTTTTACTTTCTGTCTAGGCCACTTGAGTTGCAAGATGACACCTGCAGAGAGGCTTTCTAGGGTAAGAGCTGCTTTCTCTATCTCCCCGCCACTTTGCTTTCATTTGTTCTTCCCCAGCTTCTCCACTGTTGTCATTTTCCACTTCTTAGTATTGTCATCTGTCTCTTTACCTTGGCACCTGTTATTTTCCATATACCTGTTACCCAGTTCTGTCTCCCTCAGCCTGATTCAGAATATCCCTTTCTTCATGCCCCTTCCTTCTTCCCAGCTATCCATCATCCATATGCTGACAACACTGTATTGGTCTTATGGGAGAGGTTCGTGGGAAAGGAGACTGCTTCCTACTTAGGAAGTTCCCAGACTAATGGAAGATAGTCAGAGACAGAGAAAAGCCAGTGAGCATACTCTCACTGTAACAAGCACCAAGAATAGTGTCCAGTCCTATCTCTCTTCCCTCTGCCTCTTGCTCTCTCACTTGCTTCTATTTCTCCCCAGGGTGATCCAGAATCCCTAGATGCTTGTGTGCCTCCGACAGTATCTGAAGCCTCAGTCCCAGGCCAAAACCCCCTCATCTGTCAGAACCAAGAACATCCTGCTCCTCAGCCCCTCTTTGCTCCCTCTCTACCTTTTTTAGAACCACCCATTCCCAGAAGCAGGCAAAATGGGAGCCAGGAAATTTTAGAGAATCCCTTGTCTTTAGAGTTGGACACTCTTCATGAAAAACCCAAAGTCAGGCCCCGGGGGTGCTCTAGGATGGCATCCTCTCCAGTTTCTTCTATATCCTCAGAATCCCACCCTCCTGCCTCCAAAGACCAGCCTGCCACCCCTGAGCCCACATCTCGGGCCACTCGGAGCAGGACACAGAGGTCCTCTGTCAAGACCCCTAAACCAGTTGTCCCCACAGCCTCTGAGCTCCAGCCTTCTACCTCCAAAGACCAGCCTGTCACCTCTGGGCCCACATCTCGGGCCACTCGGAGCAGGACACAGAAGTCCTCTGTCAAGACCCCTGAACCATTTGTCCCCACAGCCTCTGAGCTCCAGCCTTCTACCTCCAAAGACCAGCCTGTCACCCCTGGGCCCACATCTCGGGCCACTCGGAGCAGGACACAGAGGTCCTCTGTCAAGACCCCTGAGCCAGTTGTCCCCACAGCCTCTGAGTGCCAGCCTTCCACCTCCAAAGACCAGCCTGTCACCCCTGAGCCCACATCTCGGGCCACTCGGAGCAGGACACAGAGGTCCTCTGTCAAGACCCCTGAGCCAGTTGTCCCCACAGCCTCTGAGTGCCAGCCTTCCACCTCCAAAGACCAACCTATCACTTCCAAGGTCATAGCTCAGAGTGGTCGGAGCAGGACACTGAGGACAGGAAGTGCTGTGCCAGTTCCTGCCACCACTGAATTCCAGTCTCCTGACCCCACAGACCAGCCTATTTCCCCTGAGTCCATCCCTCAAGCCAATTGCAGCAGGAGGCCAAAAGCCTCTAGGAAGAATGGGTCCCTCACAACTCGCATCGTCTATGAACCCTCTTCTGCACTCCTTGAACCTAACTTCCCATTCTCAAGGAACCAAAGGCGAGGAGCAGTAAGAGTAGCCAAGTCCCTTGCGGCCATCCCTAAGCCTGCCTTTGCCCAGCTTCCTGAGACACCCACTCATGTTTCCCAGATCCAAAAGGTAGAGGCAGGAGGTAGATATGAGGTCACTTCAAAGACCCAGCCTAAGGCCTTTCAAAACCGCAAGAGGCCTTTCAGTGCTGTGGATTCACCCCCACTTCGAAAACGGCTCCAAAGAGGGGAAGTCCACCAGAAGACAGTATTCCTCAAGGAAGAGGAAGATTCCGCAGAAAAGGAAGAGGTGAGGAGAGGGCTGGGGGCACAGAGCTGGGAAAGGTTTGGGGACTCAGAAATCCTCACAAAGATCCTTCTCAATCCCAGGATGTAGTCATTCCAGGACCAGGCAAGAGAGAGAAAGACCAAGCTGAGGAGGCCAAAGGAGTGCCAGGCCGCAGCCTCCGTCGGACCAAACCTAAACATGAGTCCACAGCCCCCAAAGTAGGAGAGAAGGGGCCTCATGCTTTGTGGGTTCAGAAGTGGGGGGATGGGAGGAAAGCCAGGGGATTTGGGAGATAAGCACTGATGCATGGGTTGCTGTGACCAATTTGGGCCAATCCCTTCCACAGGTGCTCTTCACAGGAGTGGTAGATGCCCGAGGAGAGCAGGCAGTGTTGGCCCTGGGGGGAAGTCTGGCCAGCTCTGTAACAGAAGCTTCCCACCTGGTAACTGATCGAATCTGCCGGACAGTCAAGTTCCTGTGTGCCCTGGGGCGGGGGATCCCTATCCTCTCCCTGGATTGGCTGCACCAGGTGAGAGGCCAGGGAATGATGACAAACCAGTAGAGAAAGTGACCGTAGAAGACTGCTCACATAGCACTCAAGGGAGGGGGTGCAGGAACACAAGGGTGAGTCAGGTAGAAGACTTCATTCAGAAACACTTTGTGAGCTCCCTGTAATTGCTAGGCAGCAGGACTAGGTGACAGGCTGGCCTGAGCTTTGATACTGACTGCTACCACCCTTAGTCCCACAAGGCTGGTTGTTTCTTGCCCCCGGATGAATATGTGGTGACTGATTCTGAGCAGGAAAAGAACTTTGGCTTCAGCCTCCGTGACTCTCTGAGCCGGGCTCGTCAGCGAAGGCTGCTAGAGGTGAGAGACTGTCTTCTCCCCAACAGTGCACAGCTTCTTGGTATGCTCTCCACTGTCTCCACCATTTTTTTCCTCTTAGGGCTATGAGATTCATGTGACCCCTGGAGTCCAGCCACCTCCACCTCAGATGGCAGAGATCATCAGTTGCTGTGGAGGCACTGTCCTACCCAGTATGCCCCGGTCCTACAAGGTAAGGGTGGATGGGGAGTGTTCTAGATCTGGGGAAGTGCGCATGGGAACACAGTAGTGAGAGGGTTTGGGAAGAATAGCACAGAAAGGGATAGGAATGAGAGAGGAGCTCTGCTGATATCAATTAGACTTAGTTTTATTTTGTATTTTAAAGAATTTCAGATATACACAAAAAGAATAATGCAGTGGGCCTCGATATAGCAATCACTGAGGTTAATTTAGATGTTGCTACATTTACTCTATCCCTTTTTCTCCCCATCTTCTTTACTAAAGTATTTTAAAGAAAACTGCAAACATACTTCCACTTACATACTTAAAGTACATATCTCTAAGAAATATATACATTTTCTTTTTTTTTTTTTCCTTTAGTATGTAGGGATTTTTTTGTTGTTATTTACTTTTACCGTCAGGGAGAGGGAGAGAAACATCAATCAGTTAATTGCCTATCACATGCCCCCAACTGGGGACCTGGACCACAGCTCAGGCATGCGCTCTGACTGGGAATCAACCATCAGCCCCTTGGTTCACAGGCCAGTGCTCAATCCACTGATCCACAGCATCCAGGGCCCACCCAGGCTTTTTTAAGCCACTGACTTCCTACAGAAACTAGGTCAATTGTCCTTTAGAATGTTCCTCAGTCTGGACTTTTGGTTTCACTTTTTGCCCCCTGATTGTATCATTTATCTTGTTCTTCTATGTTCTATATTTCCTGTAAATTATAGTTAATTTTAAAAGCTTGAATAAATTCTGGTTCAACTTTTCTGATAAGAGTACTCCATAGACAATGCGGTATGCTTCACATGGCATCATATCAGAAGGTACTGTTTTAGTAATGCTTAGACTGATGAGTGGGTCCTAAACCTATTTCTAGGGTTCTTTCTCCACCTGACTTTCTGTATGTGCTGTCTGTCTTCCCAGCCCCAGAGAGTTGTGATCACATGCTCCCAGGATGTTCCTCGATGCAACATTCCAATTCGGGTTGGGCTACCCATCCTCTCACCTGAGTTCCTGCTGACAGGAGTGCTGAAGCAGGAAGCCAAGCCAGAGGCTTTTGTTCTCTCCACTTTGGAAATGTCATGCACCTGAAAACACACCCCAGTACCATTTTCCCTCCCAGAACAATAAATACTTAGAAAATATTTGGACAGAGAATTTAGGGCTTTAAAAGGATTGGGGTGTACCAGTCTGATTTGTTGTGAAACATGGGTGGGGCTGAACAGGCTTATGGGGAAAACAAAGATAGGGAGATTGGGAGGAGATTTTCTTAAATGGTCATTTATTTGGCTAATCTCGTGCTCAGATATTTTAGTGGCTGTCATCTTTAGGTGGACTGATGTGCTTATTGCTTGGTGTCCTGCCTCCCTTTTGGAAGTATCTCTCTTTTTCTTTTTCTACTGGGGTTCTTGTTTATCCTCCAAAACATGGTGGAAACAATTTTAATATCAGGAACTTGAAAGGATGCTTGGAGTGAGTAAATTTGAAGACGTACTTATAAAATGTTACTAAAATATTTTCTTCTCTCCTGGCCCCATCTTGTTAGAAGCATCCTTTAGCTTTGACTTAGAGCAAGTCTCTGCGCTTTTCTGGCCTGGTTTTCCAGCATCTGTAAAATTAGAGCTTCAGCTTAACCTCTATGATAAATAAATATTCACTCTGTGCCTTATAGTGTAGTGCATTTTTTAATTTTATGCTCTTTTAAAATTTAAATTTTAAAGGTTGGTTGATTTTAGGATATGGAGAAATTGGAAATTGGAACCCTTATTCATTGCTGATAGGAAGGAAGAATGGTTCAGCCCTTGTGGTAAACAGCTTTATGGTTTCTCAAAAAGTTGAACATAATTATCAAATGACCCATCAATTCCACTTGTAGGTATATACCTGAAAGAATTAAAACCGTTCACAAACACTTGTAGACAAGTGTAGACACTTGTTCATATAAACACTTTTCACAGGAACCAAAGGAGAGAAACGTGTTTCAAAATGTGACATGCCCATACCAGTGATTATTATTCAGCCATAAAAAGGCATAAAATACTACTGATTTATGCTACAGTATGTTGAGACTGAACCTTAAAAGCATTATCCTAAGTAAAAGAAGCCAAACACAAAAGGTCACATTGTCTGATTCCACTTACAAAATAATCCAGAATAGGTAAATCCATAGAGATAGAGAGTAGATTGGTGGTTGCAGTGGCCTGAGTGGGGGGAAACAGGTACAGCGTTTTATTTTGGGAAGATGAAAATGTTTTGGAACTAGATAGAGGTGGTGCTTGCACACATTATGAATGTACTAAATGCCACTGGATTGTTGTCTTTGAAATGCTTAATTTTATGTTATGTGAATTTCACTTTAATAAGAAAAACTTCGTTGATTAATTCTTTGCATTTTCCTGAGGTAGGTTCTACCTAAGTTTGGAGAACTTTGGTATAGTAGAAATAGCATGAGCTTCGCCACTGTGCTGGCTTTTAACTATTTCTAATCTCTTAATATAGTATATTAAGCATGGCCATTGTGGGTGTAGCACATGGTAGGACCCAAATAAATGATAGTCCCATTGCACAACTCAAAGCCTCATTTGTGTGAAACTGTCCGTGCTTTTGAGGTCATGGAATTCCTTCTAGTGCTTGTCTCCATAGCCCCATTTAGCATTCCCACTTCATGACTATCATGAGGTATCATTTAAGTGCCTCAATGTAAACTTCTAGAGAATAGGAATTTTTTTTCTTACATTTCCAATGAATCCCACAGTTTGTAGCAAGTTGTGTCATGTATCAGTCAGGGTCCTGGCAGGAAACAATGGCACAGTCAAATTAGAATAATTTGGGGGGAGTTTAATAAAGTGAAAATTACAAGTAGGCAGAGATGAAACACAACATTGCAGTACCCCAGTATGCACAGATCTGTGTTGATCACCTCTAAGTCCAAAAAGATGAGATGAGGGAGCAGTTCTATAGGGAGAGCTACCTCCATAAAAACTGACGTGTGTTGATGTAGTACATGCAGGACATCTTCCTGAAGCAGAAAGAGTGGAGGAGAGTAAATCTGGAAGGAAAAAAGAAAATGTATGTTACAGTATACAATAGTGTTGATTCAGAAGATGGGAGATCTGAGCCTTGGGCAAAGAGAAAGAATGTATAGAGTGCATGAGATACTGTTTGGCAATTTTCTCATCCCCAAGCCCACAAGATAGCAGCTCCTTAAAATTCTCTTGGAAAATTTATCTCTTTGGGACTATTCTATAATTTAAGGGAATTAGCTTAATGATGTCTAAGGTCTTTACTATGTTGATTGCTGTGACTAGACTCCTTTTTTAAATCACAATTTTTTTAATGTTTTATTTCTTAATTTTTTTTAAGAGAGAAACATCAATTTGTTGTTCCACTTACTGATGTATTCATTGGTTGTTTCTGGTATGTACCTTACCAGAGATCAAACCTGCGACCTTGGCAACATCGGGAAGACACTCTAACCAACTGAGCTACATGGCCAGGGCCCACAAGTACTATTTTTTATTTGTCACCATTAAAAGTCTGAATTAAACAAGATTCTTGGACTGGGGTCTCATATCTGTCAGCTCATTAAGCCTTGGAACCCATTTTATCCCCAGCAGCTTTTCCAGAACTGCTACCTTCACCATGAAGCTCCATGGTTTTCCCAATTCAAACTTGGGCTTCTTCAGCATTTTGACTTTTCTAACAGAGACATCATGGAGTGGACAAATAGACTGGCAAGCCTTTTCCAAAGCTTTCTGGAATCAATTTATTGACCACTTCCTTCAAGTCATTTGTCTACACCTCACAGGTCATGATTTCCATAATCTTCCTTCTACATTTGGTGGACCTGATGAGCATAAGAAGTTTATCCAAATCTAATTTTTTTTTAACACAGACTAGATAAAACAAATAACCATTGGGAATCTTGAAATCAACATCAACTTCAGTCATAGTCTGCCATATGTTTATTGGTTTAATTTTTAAATATATTTTATTGATTATGCTATTACAGTTGTCCCATTTTTTTCTCCCCTCTATTCCCCTCCACCCTCACCCCACCAGCATTACCCCACCTTAGTTCATATCCATGGGTCACACATATAAGTTCTTTGGCTTCTCCATTTCCCAACTATTCCTAACCACCAAAATGGCCTATTTTGTACCTACCATTTATACTTTTTATTCTCTATAACTTTCCCCCATTTCCCCTCCTCCTTCTACCCACCAGTAACTCTCCATGTGATCTCTATTTTTGTAATTCGATTCCTGTTCTAGTTGTTTTCTTAGTTTGGTGTTTTTTTGTTTTTTTTTAGGTTCAATTGTTGACAGTTGTGAGTTTGTTGTCATTTTACTGTTCACAGTTTTGATCTTTTTCTTAGATAAGTCCCTTTAATGTTTCATATGATAAGGGCTTGGTGATGATGAACTCCTTTAACCTCACCTTCTCTGGGAAGCACTTTATCTGCCCTTCCATTCTAAATGATAGCTTTGCTGGATAGAGTAATCTTGGATGTAAGTCCTTGCCTTTAATGACTTGGAATACTTTCCAGCCCCTTCTTGCCTGTAAGGTCTCTTTTGAGAAATCAGCTGATTGTCTTATGGGAACTCCTTTGAAGGTAACTGTCTCCTTTTCTCTTGCTGCTTTTAAGATTCTCTCCTTACCTTTAATCTTGGGTAATTTATTTTATTTTTTAAAATATTTTATTTACTTATTTTTAGGCAGAAGGGAGGGGGGAGAAAGAGGGAGAAAAACATCAATGTGTGGTTGCCTCTCCTGCACCTCCCACCAGGGACATGGCCTGCAAATGAGGCATGTGCCCTGACCGGGAATTGAACCAGCAACCCATTGGTTCACAGGCCAGTGCTCAATCCACTGAGCCACTCCAGCCAGGGCTAATCTTGGATGGTTTAATTATAATGTGTCTTGGTGTGGCCCTCTTTGGGTCCAACTTCTTTGGTACTCTCTAAGCTTCCTGGACTTCCTGGAAGTCTACTTCCTTTGCCAGATTTGGGAAGTTCTCCATTATTTTTTCAAAGAAGTTTTCAGTTTCTTGCTCTTTCTCTTCTTCTCCTGGCACCCCTATGATTCGGATGTTGGAATGTTTAAAGATGTCCTGGAGGTTCCTTAGCCTCTCCTAATTTTTTTTGAATTCTTGTTTCTTCATTCTTTTCTGGTTGAATGTTTCTTCCTTCCTTCTAGCCCAAAGTGTTGATTTGAGTCCCACTTTCCTTCCCATCACTATTGGTTCCCTGTATATTTTCCTTTATTTCATTTAGCATAGCTTCCACTTTTTCCTCTATTTTGCAACCATACTCAACCATTTCTGTGAACATCCTGACTACCAGTGTTTTGAACTCTGCATCTGATAGTTGGCTATTTCTTCATTGCTTAGTTCTATTTTTGGAGCTTTGATCTGTTCTTTTATTTGGGCCATATTTCTTTGTCTTGGCATACCTGTTATGTAGTAACAGGGCAGTCTTAGGTATTCACCAGGGCAGGACAACTCACATTGCTGCGTTGTGGCACTGTATGTGGGGGAGGGGCCAGAGAGGGAACAATGCCACTTGCTCAGCTCTCACCTGGCTTTTCAGTTACCTCCCCTGCTACCCACAAGCAAATCGGGCCCTTCTGGTGCTGATTCATGGGTGGGTGGGTCAGTTTGTGCACATTCTAGGACCCTGTGGGTCTCTTCAACAAACTCTACTGTGAGGCTGAAAGTTTCTCTTGCTACCACAACCCTCACAGGCCTGTACAGAGGTTTTGAGACTATTTCCTGCACTGGAACCCTGGGTTATGGGTCTGTCTTGCTCCCCAGTTGTTTGTCCCAGTTTATCCACACACAAATGTGGGACCCGCCCAGTCTGCCAGCCTCAGCCTTGCTACGAGTCCTCTCCACCCCAGCTGCCTGTCTCCATCCCTTCTACCAGTCTGGATGAATGTTTCTTTAACTCCTTGGTTGTCAGGCTTCCATACAGTTCGATTTTCTGGAAGTTCTGGTTTTTCATATTTAAATTTGTTGTCCTTTTGATTGTGTGAGGAGGCAAAGTATATCTCCCTACTCTTCCATCTTAGCCAGAAGTCCATCAAGGTCTGTTTATTGGTTTTAGAGAGAAAGAGGGAGAAACACTGATGTGAGAAACATTGATTTATTGCCTCCCATATTCACCCCAACTGGGGATCAATCCCACAATATAGGTATGTGCCCTAACTGAGCCCCAACCTTTTTGTGTACGGGATGACTCTCAATCAACAGAACCACACTGGCAAGGGATACTCTTCTAAGATTTTATTTATTTTTTTAGAGAGGGGGGAAGGGAGGGAGAAAGATAAAGAGAAAAACATTGATTGGTGGCCTCTCGCATGCCCCCAACCCGGGACCTGCCCGTAATCCAGTCATGTGCCCTGACAAGTAATCAAATGGGCATCCTTTCAGTTCACAGGCTGGCGCTCAACCCACTGAGCCACACCAGCCAGAGCAACAAGGGCTATTTTTTGACCGGGGAGCACATTTTGTCACAGGTAAGATCCATGTTACAGAATTTGGCAGCTTTTGCTGTGAACATCCTCAGTAATAAGCTACAGTTTTCTAGATGCATTTCCTCATTCAGCAGTTCAGTGTGAGGTGCACTCACAAACACAACTTTTTTTTTTTAAGATTTTATTTATTTTTAGAGAGGGAAGAGAGGGAGAAAGAGAGAGAGAAACATCAATGTGCGGTTGCTGGGGGCCGTGGCCTGCAACCCAGGCATGTGCCCTGACTGGGAATTGAACCTGCAACACTGGTTCACAGCCCACACTCAATCCACTGAGCTACGCCAGCCAGGGCCCAAACACAACTCTTAAGATCATCAGATGTAATTTTGGCTCTTGAGTTCTTGTGACTAGTGTTTTTCCACATTTCTTATACTGAACATAGCTGGTACTTTGACACCATCCCAATCTTCCTCAGAAAAATTGATCAATCACATTCTTCTTGGCTCCCTTTTTGCCGCCTTTCATCAGGCGAATGTTCGTGCCCATTGCCATGGTGCTGCTCAGAAAGCCAAAAGGCTGTGAGTAGGTTCTTAACTACATGATTTTTAAATCTGATGGAGACTTCTGGTCAACATGGTGGCATAGGTAAACACGGCTCACCTCCTCACACAACCACATCAAAATTACAACTAAACTGTGGGACAACCATCACTCAGAATCATCAGAAACTGTGTTGATTGGAAGTCTGAGAATTAAAGAAACCATATCCACCTAATCTGGTAGGAGAGGCAGAAATTCGGAATGGACTGGTCCCACATCCACATGTGGATAAAAATTTGGGAGGGATATCTCAGGAGCAAGGAGTCTCAACCCCACACCAGGCCCACCAGCTAGGGAGTTCCAGTGCTAGGAAGATAAGTCCCCATAATTTCTGACTGCATAAACCAGCTGGAACTGAGTCAGTGGAAGAAAGTGTTATAGTCCCAAGCAATTTCTCTTAAAGAACTCACACACAGACTTACTCAGACTCACTCCCTCTGCGCTCCAGCACTGAGGTATCAGCTTAAAAGGCACCAGTGGCATACAGGGAGAAACTGAAGTGTCTGACATCAAAGTGAGAGCTGAGGGACAGCTTCCTTCCAGACAGAAAGTTGGGCAGAGGCCATTGGCTCTTTTCTGAACCCTCCCCTCACAGAGCCACAGAGCTGGCAGGGAGGTACCATACCTGAGACTCCATCACCTGCCTCACACTGTTTGCCCTGCCCTGGAGATCCCCTGAGACTCTGTCTTACCCAACTTACTGGCCCACCCAAGCTGTTAACAGTGGCTTTTCCATATGAATAGCTGGTCTTGGATCAGGCTTCAAACTTCCTAAATCCTCTTAAACAAGCAATAGGCAGCTTCAGTGAGCTTCCAGCCCTGTACTCCTGCTAAGTGGCCCCAGGCTGGGCACTAGCAGCAGCCAGTTTATCACAACTTGGCTTGACCTAGGAAATCTCCAAGCACAGCACAAGTAGTAGCCATCTCAGATTGACATGTCAACAGCAATCAAGTCTCAGCTCCAAGAGGAGGATGACTCAGCCCACACAAAGGGTACACCTCGAGTACCCAGCTTGGGTGACAGGGAGGCTGTGCCACTGGACCCTATAGGACACCTAATACATTAGGCCACACCATCAAGACAGGGAGTCAAAGCAGCTCTACCTAATAGAAACAAACATAGGGAGTCTGCCAAAATGAGGAGACAGAGAAACATGGCTCAACTGAAAGAACAGATCAAAACTTCAGAAAAAGAACTAAACAAAAGGGAGTTAAGCAGCCCTGGCTGGTATAGCTAGGTGGATTTAGCATGGGTGTGCAAACCAAAGGGTTGCAAGTTTGATTTCCAGTCAGGGCACATGTCTGGATGTCAGGCTAGGTCCCCAGTAGGGGGTGTGCAAGAGACAACCACACATTGATGTTTCTCTCCCTCTTTTTCTCCCTCCCGTCCCCTCTCTCTAAAAATAAGGAAATACAATATTTTTTTAAAAAAGGGAGATAACCATTCTATTAGATGCAGACTTCAAAACACTGGTTATAAGGATGTTCAAGGAACTGAATGAGGACCTGAACAGCATAAAAAAAGATCCAGTCAGAAACGAAGGATACATTAATTGAGATAAAGAACAATTTATAGGGAAACAATGGTAGAGTGGATGAAGCCAAGACTCAAATCAATGATTTAGAATATAAGGAAGCAAAAAACAACCAATCAGAACAACAAAAAGAAAAAAGAATTCAAAAAAGTGAGGATAGTATAAGCAGCCTCTGGGACAACTTCAAGTGTTCAAACATAGGGCTGCCAGAAGAGAAAGAGCAAGAAATTGGAAATATGTTTGAAAAATAATGAAAGAAAACTTCCCTAATTTGGTGAAGGAAATACACATGCAAGCCCAGGAAGCACAGAGTCCCAAACAAAATGGGTGCAAAGAGGCCCATTCAAAGACACATCATAATTAAAATGCCAAAGGTTAAAGATAAAGAGAGAATCCCAAAAGCAAAAAGAGAAAAGCAGGTAGTTACCTACAGGGAAGTTCCCATAAGACTGTCAGCTGATTTCTCAAAAAAACTTTGCAGGCTAAAAGGAATTGCCAAAAAATATTCAAAGTCATGAAAAAGCAGGGGCCTCCAGCCAAGATTGCTCTATGCAGGAAAGATATCATTTAGGATCGAAGGGCAGATAAAGAGCTTTCCAGGCAAGTAAAAGCTAAAAGAGTTCATCATCACCAAACCATTATTATATGAAATGTTAAAGGGACTTATGTAAGAAAAATGAGATCAGAATTATGAACAAATGGCAAGAAATATGTATCTATCAACAATTGAATCTAAAAAACAAACTAAGCACACAAGAACAGAGACAGAATCATGTCTAAGCACACAAGAACAGAGACAGAGAATGTTTTGATAGTTGCCAGATGTGAGGGGGTGTGGGGGGATGGGTGAAGAGGTGAGGGGATTAAGAAATACAAGTAGGTAGTTACAGAATAGCCATGGGGATGTAAAGTACATAGGAAATGGAGTAGCCAAAGAACTGATAGGCATGACCCATGGACACTAACGATGGTGAAGGGATTGCCAGAGGGAGTGGGGGTTGCTGGGTAGAAGGGGATAAAAGGGGAAAAATGGGAAAACTCTAATAGCATAATCATAAAAAATATAATTTAAAAAAATCTGATTGAGAAAATCTTACTTTATGTTTCTTTTTAGATATGAATGTTAGTCTGTATTACAAACAGGTCTGTAAAGGAAAATATGTTAACATAAAAGACCTTAATGATTTCTGACTAATAAGTGGAGTCCAGCTAAAGAGGTTGCAGAGTAGTCATATAGTTAATTAGAAGCTTGGATAAAATTTTCCAACTGCAGCATTTGCAACTGTAATCAACAAAGCTTTCTACCACAAATATTTTCACATTGTTATTCTCATGGTTACAAATTAACAACTTTTGGCTAAATCTTGCCCTGGTAGTGTTAAGAAGTTGGTTAGAACATCATCCTGATACCCCAAGGCTCGAGGCTCAATCTCTGGTCAGGGCACATAAAAGAATAAACCAATGGATGCACAAATAAGTGGAACAACAAATCCATGTCTCTCTCCCTCTCGCCTTTCCTCTCTCAAGTCAGTAAAATTAAATTTAAAAAAAAAAAACACCCTACAAATCTTGTAGTATTACAGAGTTCTCTGCCCTTCTTAGCAAGTAGAGAAGCAACTCAATTTTTTAATAAGTTACAGAATAATGATTAAGTTATTTTGTGGTAAAATAGTCACTAACTTTTTTCAATCTAACGAGATGTTGTAGGTGCCTCACAGCTTTGGTTTCTCAGCCGTGTTCTCATCCTTCATTGTGTTTAATCGAAGCTTTAGAACCTCTAATTCTGGGTATGTTTTCCACCCAGGACTGCTAAAGGGGCTTTCCATCGCTGTTTCCACAAGAACCCTCTAAAAGAGGAGCTGTATTTTAGACGGGGGAGAAATAGCCAAGGTAGGATTCAACCCACATGAGTGGTTGCAGAACTACTGCCCTTTCACCTCTGACTGGGGATTCTAACTTTCTCTCTGCTACACGGAGAGGAAGACTCTGGAGAGGCACTCGGGGTTAGGCCCTCCCAAGGCTGGCCTGGCGGCGCTGCAGAAGCAGGAACCCCAGCGTTGGCGCGCAGAAGCCCCGCCCTCCTGGGCTGATCCCTTCAGGAGGTGGGGCCGGGGGCTGGGTCTCCAGCCGCGGGAATCCTGAGCCCGCCTCTTCCCCACCCATCTGTTTCTAGCCATGGCCCCTGCACTTCTCGTAGTCCCTGCTGCCCTCGCCTCTTTCATCCTGGCCTTTGGCACGGGAGTGGAGTTCGTGCGCTTTACCTCCCTTCGGCCTCTTCTTGGAGGGATGCCGGAGTCTGGAGGTCCAGGTGAGATCGGGGATGAGCTCCGGGGTAGGGAGGTGGAGCCAGAGGAGAGGGAGCAAGGCGGGGCTTGTTAGACAGGAAAAGTTCCGGAGAGGGATCTACAACCGAGAAAGGTTCTGAGAAGCTGCAGGAGAAACTGAGTTAGCAAGTCAGGGATTAGCCCTTTGGAGAGTCGGGATGGTTAGGATTGAGATAAGGGAAAGGGCGCTAAACAGAGCATGTTAAGAAAAGTGCTTTGTAGACAGGACTATGGAGAGATTGATTAAAAAGGTAACATCTGGAGAAGTGAAATGAGAGGGGCAAGGGTGGCCTCTTCTGCTATGACTTTGTCACTACCCAACAGGAATCGTCTTCCATAGCTCTAAAGGATGCCTAGGAAAGAGGAAAGAAACAGAATGGGAAAGCGAGTTGGGCAAAGACTACAGAGGAAGTTGTTTAAGGTTCTTGAAAGCATTACGGGACATGGCCTGGGACTCCAAGTGATGAGGGTAGAGGGTCCTATTCTTTTCACTCTCCAACTCCCCTAGATGCCTACCAGGGATGGCTGGCTGCCTTTCAGGACCGCAGCATTCTTGCTCCTCTGGCCTGGGATCTGGGGCTCCTGCTACTATTTGTGGCACAGCACAGCCTCATGGCAACTGAGACAGTGAAAGTGTGGATGTCCCGGTACTTTGGGGTTCTTCAGAGGTCACTGTACGTGGCGTGCACTGCCCTGGCCTTGCAGGTATGAGGCCCTGGAAGCTAAGTCCCTAAGAGAAACAATCTGGGAAGGATGCCCTAGATAGCAGGAGCAGGGACCTTAGACTTCTGATAAAAGTGTGAGTTTAGGAGATCTCAGGGTGTTCACGACTCTCATCTCAGATTCCATTCCCTCACAGCACACAACCTACTTTTTATCAAGAAGAGTGCACTGCTTGTCATTCCCCAAGCATGCAGGCCATGTACATTCTCACCTATGCACTTTGTGTACCACTTGAGAGTCTCTCCATAACTCTTCCTAAGCCCTACCCTTTCTTCAAAACCAAGAGAAGGCTTCCTAGTTAATATTCATCTGTCTTCTCAGTGGGGGCTACTGTGCACCTCTCTGGTCACCCTCATCTATTCTGTAACTCCTCTGGGTAGAGACGGATCATCCTTACATCCTTTGGACCCCACCCAGCACCCTCCACATGCTAAATATTTGTTGGTGATGCTCACGGTAAAGGTGGGGGAGAGCTGCAAGCCAGTTGTGGGTGGGGGCAGCCTCTGGGTCTAGGTCTCCCAGCCCCTCATCCTTCCCCAGCTGGTGATGCGATACTGGGAACCTGTTCCCAGAGGCCCTGTGTTGTGGGCAGCTCAAGCAGAGCCATGGGCCACCTGGGTGCCCCTCCTGTGCTTTGTGCTTCACGTCATTTCCTGGCTCCTCATCTTCAGCATCCTTCTCGTCTTTGACTACGCAGAGCTCATGGGCCTCAAACAGGTGAGGCTCCCAGATCCCTACCTTTGATCCTTTCAAGAACACCTCTTGGCTTTCCAAAGACTTTTCCCCTCCCCCTCCCATGCTTTTCTACCTTGCTCTTGCTTTCAGCTCCCTCACCTGCCTTTCTTGTATGAGTCTCACCTCAGCCCTTCTTCAAAAGGCCAAACACCATGGGCCTCCTAAGCCTGTGGAAGGTTCATGGCCTGAAGATGAGGGTCAGGGGCCCAAGACTTAGAAGGGTGGTTCCTGGGCCTGAGTTATAACAGGAGGGTGCCTGGAAGGGGAAGAAAAGGTGGCTAAGTTATGAAAGGGGCTTGACTTTCTAAGCTGTTCTCCCACTCCTAGGTGTACTACCATGTGCTGGGGCTAGGGGAGCCTCTGGCCCTGAAGTCTCCCCGGGCTCTGAGACTCTTCTCCCACCTGCGCCACCCAGTGTGTGTGGAGCTGCTGACAGTGCTGTGGGTGGTGCCCACCTTGGGCACTGATCGGCTCCTCCTTGCTCTCCTCCTTACCCTGTACCTGGGCCTGGCTCACGGACTTGACCAGCAAGACCTATGCTACCTCCGGGCCCAGCTACAAAGAAAACTCCACCTGCTTTCCCGGCCCCAGGAGGGTGAGGCCTATTGAGGAGCTAACCTTGGTTTCAAGCCCTGTACTTTGTGTCCCCCTCAGAATTCAAATCCGTTGACATCCAGGTCTTGGCTGCTTCAGACCAGAGGGCCAAATCCATGGACTGAAGGAACTGTCTCATCCACTCCACTCCCTGGGTCCATCTCCATAACCTAAATTTTATTTTGTGGTAAAATAGTCACTCAGTTTCAGGGCTTCAAGGTCCACTTCTCACCAGCCAGGAAGAAGGGGTGGGGGACTTACAGGTCTTCTCAGTTTAGGGCTTGATGCTCCCTCCCAATCTCCTCAAAAGGAGAAGGGTCCAGCCTGACCACTCCCCTGGCAGAGTTACTCATCTCTGCACCGCAAAGATCCCCTTCTCCAAGTCTAGGTTGCGCTTCAAGGCGCTCTACTAGGGTCTGCAAGTTTGACAGTAGTGGCTGCCCCTTCAGGTTCCACACCTCCTCCATTCCCACTGGCTGGCCTCTTCAGCTCCTTAGGCCCCGCCCCAGGGTTCCGTCCTTGAACTCAGTTGAGAGGATTCTCCAGCTCTTAATTCCAGTGATTAAGGCCTCTCTGCTCTCCCGAGTAACACGTGTAGCAGAAAAATAAATTTCAGTCTGGTTTTTTCTACATATGGTAGCAGTCTATCAATGTATCTTAAACTGAAGGGCGGGGTTTGGGAAGACGGGGAGCCGAGCCTGGGCGCGCCAAACTCAGCCTGAACAGCCACCGCGCCCTCTGGCGACCGTTGGGCGGCGGCGGCCACCGCCCCCCCCCCCTCCCCGGAGCAGCCCAGTTCTCCTTCCCCCACGTCCCCCTTCGTCCCGAAGACCGTGGAACTCATGGGAGACTGGAGCTAAAAAAGTGGACAGTAGCTCCAGAAGGCGAGCGAGCTTCCACAGCTGTTGGCTTCCGAGTGCCTCTCCTGCCGTCCCGGCCCCCATTGACCCCCCCCCGCCCCCCACTGCCTGGCAGCGACCCGGGACCCCACAGCGACCAAAGGCTGGCCCCCGAGGCCAAAACGTGGGGAGGAGCAGCAGCAGAGGACGGGAAGGGCGGGTCCAGCTCGGAGCTGCCGCTGCTTCCTCCCCACGTCCCTTGAGGGGCCTGAGTCACCGGCCGCCGCCCTGGGTCGGCGGGATGGGGGTGGCGGGTGTCTGGACACCTGGGTTTTCCAAGGCTGCGGGGCAGGAGAGAGGTGAGGGGCCCTGGGGGCTCAGAGCGGAGGGTCAGGGGTGAGGGCCGGAAAAGCGGAGCCGGGAGCGAAGCCCCACACGTGGTAGGCGGGAGCGAGGCCCCGCCCCTCCTCGGGCTCCGCCCCGCGCCCCCTCTCCTCTCCCCATTGTCCTCAGACAAAGCGGTCGCCACTGCCCCCCTGCCCCCCCGCCCGGCCCCAAGGTCTCTGTCTCCGTCCCTCCTTCAGGGCTCCCACTTTCACTCCTCCTCTCCCTCCTCCCCTCCCGCCTGTCTCTGGATCTCCCCGGATCCCTCTCTCGGATCCCTCTCTCGTCCTCCTCCTCTCGCTTCCTCTATCCGGACGCCGGGCTCCTCCGCACCCCCTCCCCTGCGCGCCCCCGCAGCGTGTGAGTTGCCTGAGGGGCTTCAGACTCGGGGAGGGCTTTCTCCTCGCTCCGTCCTCACGCCTGCCGCTGGCCGGGACTTTGGGCTAACGCCTCTTTGTGCTGAGGCTGTCTGTGCGGCCAGCGCGGGGCGGGGATGGGGAACAATGTCAGGGTTCCTTGAGAGCCAAGACCCCAGCACAGGACGCGAAGGCTCCGGATAGAAGAGGCGCGGAGCCGGCTCTCCGCGCGGCGGGGTCCCGGGCACAGGAGGTGGGGGAGGCAGGCCAGGCAGGCCATGGTGACGCGCCGGGGTCGGGGTGGACGTCAGGGTTCTGGGAACGCGCTGGCAGCCCCGGCGCCCGGGTTCTGAAAGTCCCCGGGGAAGGGTATTTCCCTGACCCGCCCTGGGGCGGAAGGGGGGCAGAAGGCGGGGCCCACGCACAGCTGGAAGGGGAGCCCGGACCTCCGGAGCCAGAGCAGAGACGCGCCCAGCGGCATCCGCGGAGCTTCCTTTACCCTCTGACCCCCGTTTCCCCTGCTCCCCTAAGACCTTTCCACTCTCCGCCCCTCTTCACCACCCTGACATCCGTTCAGGTCCCGTTGCCCCCCTCTCCTGGAGGGATTCCCTGACCACCGTTCCCACTCTCACTGCTCCCGGGGTAGCAGTGAGGCCACCTCTCCTGAATCTTGTCCCCCTCACCTGCAGCCTTACTTTCCTCTCTTCCCCGTCACACCAACTTCTCTTTTCGCCCTTCTCTCTTCTCACATCCTTGGACTGTCTCTGACTTTGATTAACCCTGAGCTGCCATATCTGAATCTCCACTCCTCCTTTACTTCTTCCCCTTCCCCCTATCAACTTGACCCATAGCCTTTTCTTCACTTTCTTGGTTTTCCCCGTTCTCTGTCCTGCCTCTTCTCCCTCTTCCCCTTTACCCTCCTCCCCTCAGCTCCTCTGCCCTTCTCTGTCCCACCTCTCCCCTCCACTTCCTGTCCTCCCATCCCCAGCCTCACCCCTGGGCCTCTCAGTACCATCTCCTTTCTGTTCTCTGCCCCCAGTACTTCCCACCCTCAAGGCGACCATGGCCACCATCCCAGACTGGAAGCTACAGCTGCTGGCCCGGCGCCGGCAGGAGGAAGCAGCCATTCGGGGCCGGGAGAAGGCGGAGAGGGAGCGTCTATCCCAGATGCCAGCTTGGAAGCGGGGGCTCCTGGAGCGCCGCCGGGCGAAGTTTGGTCTGTCTCCTGGGGAACCCAGCTCTGAATCTGGGACTACAGAGGCTGGACCTCCAGACCAAGACAAGTCTGCAGTCCTCCTGGAGGCCATCGGCCCAGTGCACCAGAACCGATTCATTCGGCAGGAGCGCCAGCAGCAGCAGCAGCAGCAGCAGCAGCAGCATCAGCAGCAGCAGCAGCACCGGAGTGATGAGCTGCTTGCAGAAAGAAGGCCTGGGCCTTTGGAGGCCAGGGAGTGGAGACGGAGCCCTGGAGAGATGAGGGATCCAAGCCCCAAGGAAAGAGATTCTAAGGAAGAGCAGCTCAGTCCCCAAGAAGCCAGAGAGAGGAAGCTGGGGGTAGGGGGAGCTGGAGAATCAAGTCCCAGACCTTCAGGAGCTCGGGACTGGAGGCAGAGCCCCGGAGAGGATGGAGACAGGATCTCCAGGCTGTCAGAGGTGCGGAAATGGAGGCTGAGTCCCAGAGAAACGCAGGACTGGAGTCTGAGATTGGCAGAGCCTCAGGAGCAAAGCCCTAAGAGAAAAGAGATGGTGGAAAGTAGACTGAGCCCAGCAGATTCTGACGGTCAGCAGCTGGGCCTGACAGAGGCCCATAAATGGAGGCCTGACCCCATAGAGTCTCAGGAACAAAGTTTGATACAACTGGAGGCATCAGAATGGAGGCTGAGCTCAGGAGAAAGAAAAGACAGCTCAGAGGAATGTGGGAGAAGAGAAGACAGGACAGCTCCAAGGATGACTCCGGAAGAGATTACAGGGCTGTCTGAGACCCTGACACGGAGGGCTCCGGACAGCAGCTCTGGAGTACAGGCAGCAGAGCAGGGACCCAGCCCTGTGGAAGATGGCGGGGGGGACTTGAGGCTGACAGAAGGGTGGAGATGGACCCTGTACTCTGGGAAGGTCCGAGAATGGACACCCAGGGACACAGAGACTCAAACTCAGAAGCCAGCCCCTCCAGAGTCTGCTGAGAAGCATCTGGGGCCTCTTGATGCAGAGGCTGGAGAAGGGGAGGCTGAAAAGGAGAAGGCAGGAGCTCAAGGCAGGTCTCTGAGCACCCTGCAGAACTGCTGTTCTGTGCCCTGCCCCCTCCCACCAGAGGACGCTGGGACTGGAGGCTCTAGACAGCAGGAAGAGGAAGCTGGGGAACTCCGGCCCCCACCCGCAGCCCCTCTGTCTCCACCCCCAACCCCACCTGCCCCCCAGTTCCCTGGGGATCCCCTCATGAGCCGGCTGTTCTATGGGGTGAAGGCAGGGCCAGGGGTAGGGCCCCCCCGCCGCAGTGGACACACCTTCACAGTCAACCCAAGGCGGTCTGTCCCCGCTGCAGCCCCTGCCACTCCAGGCACCACTGATGCTGCGGTCCCTGGTGCTGGGAAGAAGCGGTACCCAACTGCTGAGGAAATCTCGGTTCTTGGGGGCTACCTCCGCCTCAGCCGCAGCTGCCTTGTCAAGGGGTCCCCTGAAAGGCACCACAAACAGGTATGGAGCATCCAAGCCAGACTTCTTAGAAGCCTACTCATCTGTTCCTTCTGGGCTTTGAACTCATCTTTTTTATACTCTATTGTTAATTCCTGCTGCCACCCCTTCTCCTCTGAAACACCCTTCCTTCTTGTAACTCTCCTGTTTCATTCATTTCCAATCCCCAAGGATCCTGCCCACAACCTAGTGCTGTCCCTGGGTGTGTCCTTCTCAGGGTGTGTGTCCAGGCTGCTTACCCTCCACTCCATCAGGCTCTGAGGTCCCCACCCCATTTCTTTCCTTCTTTTCCTCTGAGTCTGCGACCCAACTCAGCCCATTTAGTGGGAGACAGGCCAACAACCTTAAATCTGTAATAGCAAGGTCACCAGAGTAAAAAAGCCCTTACAGCTTTCCAGGGAGAGAATGTGGGGACAGGAAGCCTGGGGAGAAATGGAGGGCAGACATGAGTGGAGGAAGGTCTCACAGTCCAAGGAAGAGGGAAACAGCTGAGTGGGGACATCCTAGGATGGGGGGAGCAGGGAATGGAACAGGGCTGACCAAAGAGCAAGTCTGCCCCGAGGGAGAGTCCCACACAGAGGCCATTTAAAATAGGTGACCTTGGGGTTGCACACCACCAGCTGGGCCACTGCTTCAGACAGTGCTCCCTTCTCTCAGGACAAGAAAAGCCTTCTCCACTTCCAATATATGCCCTCCCTGTCTTTCTCCCTGGCCTTCCCCTCCCTCCTCAGGACTGGCTCACCCCCTCACTCCATTTTCCCCTCTCTCCCGGCAACCCGGGCCTCTCCCTCATCTTGGGGTAGAAAAAAAGAGAAGTGAATTTGGAGGCACTACTGAGAACAGAGTCCAATGGGAGTTGAGGACTGGGGCGAGGGCTGAGGCCAGCAGAGGGTCAGAGGTTAAACTGGAATTAGGTTGTACAGAAAAGTGGGAGAAGCTGGGCTGACAGCTCCCCTGGCCTGGTCCCACTCCTACCTCTTGCCTAATCCCTTCCCTTCATACCAGTCTTATTTCCAGCTTGGAAAGGAAGGAGAGCCCCCTGTAGCTCACACATGTGCCCAGAGACAGGAAAGCCCTTCCTAGTCTCCAGTCCTCATCCCACATGTGACATCCTCAGATCTAGTTTCTCTGTCCTCAGTTTCAGCGGGAAACCACAGGGTCAAAACACCTAGATTAAGCATGGGGTCATTTGATACCCCCATTCATCATCACAAGAAGCTTAAGCTCCTATCCCCAAGCAGTATCCCAAGCCCTCTGACCAAGCAAGGAGGTAGATCAGGAACAGCCAGGATAAAGTGTTCAGAAAAGTCACTTCCTACTGAGTTAGTTGGCTTGTGCTTTTCCTGTGGAAAGAGCAGAGGAAGGCATAAGGTTTGGGACCCAAAGCCCGGTGGCTATTGGGTGTGGGACAGAACCTGTGATGGTGAGCATACCTAGTTTAGGGAGCTGGGGAGCCGGAAGCAGATCACCCAAACAGGAAGCCTGGGGTGGGGGCCGGAAGGCTGGTGGGGCTGAGTGGGGAACACTGGGCTCTGGCCTTCCAGAACTGCTCAGGATGTGGTGAGAAGAAGGAAGCAGAGCTCGGGGTGGGGGTGGGAAAGAAGCAGCAGAGTTCTCTAGACCCATGCGCTTCCCTCTCTGCCCTCTTCCAGTACCAGCTCATGAGGGGCTTGTGTGCCCTGTCCCAGCTCTGCCCAACCCCCTGGCTCAGGGATAGGAGGACCCCATCCCCCACCCCTGCCTTCTCTAAATAACTCATTTGCAGGCTAATTCCATCAGTCTTGTTCAAAGAAATCCCAGGCCTGGCACCGGAGGCCAGAGTATGGATGGGCTGTGGCTGGTGCCCTTCCCCAGAGTCCTCTCAGCTGAGACACCAGCCCTTCCCCTCTCCAGCCCCCTTGTGACCTTATATAGCTGATGAGAGGAGCCAGTGAGTCACCCACTCTGTACCCTCCCCCCACCCATTCCAGGCTGTTCATTCCTGGGAAGCCCAGTCAGAAGTTGCTGGGGTGGGGGGAGAGTCAAACATGGACTGAAAGCAAATAAAATGAGTCCTTTTTCAGAGTGGCTAATAAACTACAGAGCTTGTTATCCTGAAAGGGGATATGAAAGGACAATAGAAATGAGTCCTCAGAAGTTCTGGCACATCTATCAGTAACAGAACCAGAAGTGTCCCCTTTTGAGAAGTTGGGAGGTAAGGTGTCTGGTTGCTGTCACCTGATTCTATCAGCCATTTCACAGACTGGGGTCAACTGTATACAGTCTGGGCACACCCCCCGCCCCCCGCCGTCAACATTTCTTCCTCAGCTTTGGTCCTAAGTAGGGACCTCATCTAGGGTCTGGACAAGCCCTTCCTTACCTAGTAAAGCTGTTCCCATGCTCTTGTTGACAGCAGATACAAGGATAATGAGTTCTCTGATAGGTTAGGAGGTGTTATTGGGGGGGGGACAGACAAGAGATAAGAGGAAGCTAGAGGGCCAGGGTGTGAGGGAATGAATGTAATAACTTTATAATTGAGTGACTGGGAGAGAAGGATCCATAGGGATATTTGGGGGAACAGTGTTCCAGGCAGAGGGGAAACAGCCAGTGCAAAGGCCCTGAGGTGAGAGTGCCCCCAGTGGGCTGGTGTAGCTGGAGTGGAGAGTGCCCAAGAAGTGAGAGGGTGGCACCATCCTGAGGATTTGGTCAGGCTCTGGCTTTTGCTCCCAGTGAGATGGGGAGCTGATGTAGGGTTTGGAGCCAAGGAGTGACAGTCCATCAGTTCCAGCCTTCTGTATGGATGCATTTATTAGCAACCACCTGTCCAGCCACCCTCCAGGCTTCTCACATCCCAGTCCATTTTGAGATGAGGTGGCAGGGAACCAGCCCCAAGTTTCTCAAAACAGATGCCAGGGAAGGCCTCAGTAGATCATCTGGACCTTTCTAAGTAATTCACATTGAATTCTCCTGTTTGTCTCCGCTGTGGCTTTGGCTCCAAGGTTAATCCCACCCTACCTCTTCCCCACTGAGTTTAGGAGGGCAAAGAACAGCAGTGAGAACAGCTGGGCTCGGCTCCTTATGTTTAGGAAGGAGTTTCTATAGTTTCCAGATCTCCTGCCTGGTGTTTTGCCTCGGTCTCTGATGTCCCTTCCGGTGTACGCTCTACCCCCACTCTATGTTTTTGTAGGCTTTCCTCTCTGCCCTTGTCACCTCTCCCAGCTGCACCTTCAAGGGCTTATCTTCCTCTGTGTTGGGGGAAGAGTCTGTTTCCTCTGGGCCTTACTGTGGGTCTGCCCTGTTTTTGCCTGGGACTCCCTCCCCAGCCATCTCAAATTTCACCTCCTCTGGGTAGCCTTCCTGATTGCCCCAGGGCTCCCAAAAACTCAGTTGTGATCGCAGGACTTGTTTTTGTTTCCATGTTTTTAGTTTCTACTCACCCTTCTGCCTGACACACTCTAAAGTTAGGAACCTTGGTCCTGGATTACTCGCCTCTGCCACCCAGGCCCCTGCCAAAGCTCAGGCCAAAGTCTCATCTCTTGAAATGATGTGATTGAAAAGGGAATACTTGGGACTGCAGGATCTGCATTAAAAAAACAAAAAACTGGGCCCGGCAGTGGGCGCAGAGGGCAAAGTCAGCTGGGTGGTCATATCCAGCCCTGCGCCTCAGCTTGCACTTGTGGGGCTGAGGGCCGTCTGACCTACCTCCTCGCTGCTTTCCCTCCCTCCCATCTGTAGCTCAAGATATCCTTCAGCGAGACAGCCCTAGAGACCACGTACCAATACCCCTCCGAGAGCTCAGTACTGGAGGAGCTGGGCCCGGATCCCGAGACCCTCGATGCTCCCACCGCCCCAGCGGCCCAGCCTGACGAAGATGAGGAGGAGGAGGAGCTGCAGCCGGAGCTCCGGGGTGGGCTGCGCCACAAGGCGCTGATAGTAGGTGAGCGGAGGTGCCGCCTGGTGTTCAGAGCTGGCACTGCGGTCCCGAAGGAAAGGGGAGGACAATGTGGCGCTTGAAGGGCTTGCCAGGTCCTTGGTCCAACCTGCTTTAACAAACGAGGAAACCAAGGTTCTGGGAAGCGAAGTGTAGGTCGGGTCTCCAGATTTTAAAACTAGGGCTCTTTCTGAGCGCTCTAGTGTGGTTTAAAACACAGGGTTTGGGTCAGTCAGGCCTGAGTTTGAATTCTATCTTTTATGGTTGTGACCTTAGGGAAATAACCTAACCATTGGCCTCAGTTTATTATTTGTGAAATGAGATTAATGATAACTACCTCCTGGAGTTGTTGAGAGGGTTAAGTAATTTTTATGAAGCACCTAAAACCATGGCTGGGCATTAAATTACTTAGTCTCACCTGGAGTTTTTGTGAGATTAAACAAGTGATAAGATACCTGGCATAGAATATGAGCTAAATCAGTATGGCTGCTGTTACTGGTAGTAACAAGCACTCAAGATGTGGAAGATAGTCCGTTAGGTAACTTCTCTGACTTCCATAGTGAAGGTCAACTGGCCTTCACTAAGGGGAGTCAATGGGAAGGCAGGAGGCAGAGGCTGTTACTCATTTTCTCATTATTGCCTCCTCTCTCACAGATGAGTCCTGCCGAAGGTGACCCTCTTCCAACACAGGGACATACCAACCTTCTTCTCAGAACTAAAGATCCTGAATTCCAGAAGATTCAGAGCAGATAACCCTGAAAATGAACCTGGCAGGGAAGGGCAACCACCATCTTCCAACTTGCTTTCCTCATCCTGTTTTTGGAGACAGAGCCCAAATTCCACCCTCACCCAAAATCCCCAGTGTGAATGCATCAGGCATGCTCGTGCACCCTGGGTGACCCAAGTCCCGAGGGAAGAGGACAGAGCTCACGGGGGGTGGAGGTGGAGAACCTTGCTCTTCCCTCAGCCCCTGTTGGGCTCTCAGGATTTAAGCACTCATCTCCCTGGGAGGCTGGCCCTCAGTCCTTTCATAGGCATGTGTTTCTCCTGTTCCTTAGGTCACTGTCCCTTTGTTTATAGCTCCTGCCTCCTCTCTTGATCACAGCCTGGTTTACAAACATCCCCAGCTCCCATCGCACCCCCCAAAGTCCCAGGTTTATAAGTCACACCTATGTTCCATGTCCATGTGAAATCCTCTTGTCTTCCAGCACCCCCTCAAGTCATCTCACTGGGAATGATCTGTAGGTGTGGCTTCCTCCATCTTTGCTCGTGTAACTAGGCCTCAGTTTTCCCCAAGAGAAAAGTCAAGGAATCTTAACTCCATAACCCTATCTGGTGATTTAAGTGGTTCACAAATGAATTAAATTGCAAAGGTATAGAGTGACTAATGAAGTACCTCAACTCTCTTCCCCTATTTCTCCTTTCTTATCAATTGCCTGTTTTAGGAAAAAAAGATAAAAACAACTTTTCATAATAAAGTGGAGTTCTTTCCAACTTTCCTGTTGCTTCTCCTTTAGAAAAAAAAAAAGTGTATGTGGGGGGATGCTCTGGATTCCTCCTTCTAAGCTTCTGCCATCTCCTATTGGCCAGGAAAGGAATTGGCCATGGCTGTGGGAGGGGAGAACGATGGGGATGAACCAACAACTCAGCACTGATGTGTAGAAACAGTTTTGAGAGAGCCCTGCACTTGTTTCTCAAAGGGCTGGTTTGAGGAAGGGCATTTGAAGTGTCTACTAAACATGGGTGGTACCATGAGAATAGACTTTGTTGGTTGTATGCCTGGCACCTAGTAGATAAAAAAGTTATTTCTAGATGAATGTTTCAACAAATAAGTCAGTAAATGGAAAGAGCTAAGAAATTGGAAGCAAGGGATATTCTGAACTGATAGATTCCAGTGTTTGGAGGCCTACTAAATGCAAGCAGCCAGGTGTTGTTTGACACTAGTTAATCCAGGGTCATTAACTCCAAGACTCAGGACCACTCAATAATCTGAAAAATACAGTTGTATGTACAGAAGTGCAATGACTTGGAAAAGGGTCTCCTCTGACAGACAACAGGTTTTCTGAAAGGTTTAAGATCCATTGGTTTGTTGCCCAAGTGTAGTTGATACTGAGAGATTTTCCCATTTCAAAGGATTTCTATCTTTTCTACAAATGTGGAAGATCTATCTTTTACTTACCAGGACAATTTTTTTTATTTCTCCAGGCTAATAAAGATATGGTTGAGAAGTTACAGTCCTATAACTAGAGGATGCTTCTCTCAGCCTAATCAGAGTAGGATCTCCTTTACTAAAAACAAAATATGTTAGACATACTGATCTAAACATATGCCACAGGTCTTTAATTTACTAGCAGGGGAACAAGCTTGATGTCGAAAGAATGAGCCAGTTCACAGAGGGTGTGGGTATGGAGGGTAGCAAAATTCTTATGTTAGCAGCTAATTAGGTAAGTTCCTCATCTGTTTTGACCCAAGAAAGTAGAGGCAGGAAGCCCAGAGATGCCAGGGTTGCCCATGGTCCATCTCAGAAACAGAAAAAAAAATGCATCCAAGACATCAATGATATGGAATTACCAGTGGCTGTTAATTGAAATAACAATTTTTCATTTCTCAACAGTAGTGTCTGAAGTCCAATTAATCATAAAAGTATCAAGCAGGGTCATACAGGTCAGACAGCAGAAAGCCAATTAACAAGTTCTGCTTAGTTTTATTTCTTTATAGATTTAAAAAATATTTTTATGTATTGATTTCAGAGTGCAAGGGAAACATTGGTCCATTGTTTCATTTATCTATGCATTCATTGGTTGACCCTTGTATGTGCCCTGATTAGAGATCGAACACACAACCTTGGCGTGCCAGGGCATTCTGCTTTTTTTTTTAAAACATGCATAATTCACTTTATTTTACTTGTATAAAATTATGTAGTAGCCACAGCTGAGGCCTGGGTTCTCTACACAGACACTCTGGGGCGGGTCTTTACAAAACGGTCAGTGAGTTCCTGACAGGGAGACTTAGTGAACGTGGTTCTTTCCAGAGGTCGGGGGTGAGAGAGCTGCAGTCTTAGAGATGGCATGGAAGGTGGCCTTGGTGAAGTTGCCCAGGGTGGCACCGCAGTCGATGCCAGCCATCATCAGCAGCTTTTTGGGCACAGAGGCTGAGACGATGCTGGTGCCCCTGGATGCAGGCACACCAGCACGGAGCTGCAGTGCCCAGTATCCTTACAATGGATGGGTGGGGCTTGCTCACCTTGTTCTCCCAGTAGCCTCACCGCACAGGGACAATAGAGAGCTTGGCCAGGATCATGGCCCCACAGATGGCAGTGACTACTTCTTTTTGATAGGGGACTCAAGAGTTGGAAAATTAGTTTAAGGTAAATAGTTAATGAGCCTAGTAGGTAATGCATATGTTAAAGCTATTGTTTCAGGAACTGCAGGTATGGCTCAGGCTCCCAAGAGAGACAGCCGACCTCATGGGGCACAGCTAAAGATCACCGCCTGGGGCACAGCTAGAGACATCAGAGCCTTTGTGTTCCAGGGAGAGATGTGACCGCCCAAGCCCCCAGGGATAGCTAACTGCCCAGGGGGAGAACTCTGCAGTTTTTTTATCTAATTTTCCCTGAATTTCAAAACCCCTCGCAGCATTCTGTTCACTGGTTAAAAAAAGGCCAGCATGAAAGGAAATGTAAGATCCTTAGGATACAAACCCACTGTCTTCTCAGAAAGTCAGCCATCCAAATAAAGTGCCCATAAAGATTCAATCTCTGTCTCTGCTTATTGGGTCTGGTATGTGACTGACAGCACTAACACAGTCTTTTCCAGTTTCAATTTGAGCACTTGACACCCAGACCAACATGTCCATTGTAGTTCCCAACAGTGGCAACAAATGCCTTGAACCGGGTCCTCTGGCCTGCACAGGTCTGCTTTTGTGCCCGCATAATTTTCAAAACTTTGTTCTTGAGGGATAAACCCCCCAAAAAGTCAATGATCTCAGATTCCTTGATGGGCAGAGAAAAGAGATAGATCTCCTCTCCGGACTTCATTTTCATGTCCTTGACCAGCCGGCTAGCCAAGCTTGGTGAAGGGGATGTGCTCCTTGTCCTCATTCTTGCCTCCGGGAGCTCCACCGCCTTGACCCCGACCCTGGCCACTACCTCGGCCTGGGATGCTGCTGCCAAATCCTTCACCAGAGCCTGCTGAGGCCATCCATTCTGGGGCCCCTGAAGACTCTGGGCCCTTCCTCAGCACTGGCATCATCTGCCATTTGGTGTTTCCTGGGGGAGAAATCTACTTATTTCTAAACAAGCTGCCACCAGTACATTTCTCTAGATATTAGCAAAAATACAGAACACAATTCGCACATTCCTTGGTTTGGAGATCTTTTAAAATTGCTTTCTGAGATAGCATCAAGAAAAGCAAAGCACCTTTGATTTTTTTCCCCAGATCCCAACTTCCTTCCTGCCGGGAGGCCCTCGTTTATGCCTAACCTGTATTCACTCCCGCTGCAGGTATGGGTCCTAGCAAAAGATGCTTCTAATTGGTATGAGCTAATCTTTAATAGATTTGGTCTGATTTGCATATACCTTGGATTTGGTCTGATTTGCATATACCTTGCCTTTGGCGGGGACAGGGGGGCTCCATAGACCTTACAGAACTTACAAGTCTTATTTATTATGCATTTTATCTGCCCCCTCAAATATAAGTTCACTAAGGGAGTTTTTAAAATCTTTTTAAAGATTGTATTTATTTACTTTTAGAGAGAGAGGTGGGTGGGGGGGGAGAAAGAGAGAGAGAAATAATGTGCAAGAGAAACAGTGATTGGTTACCTCTCTCATGCCCTGACCTTGGGGGCCTGGCCCACAACCCAGGCAAGTGCCCTGACTAGGAATCAAACTGACAACTTTCTGTCCACAGCCCTTGCTCAGTCCACTGAGCCACACTAGCCAGGGCAGGCATTGTTGTCTGATTTGTTCTTTGCTCTATCCCCAGTGACTAAAATTGTATCTAGCACACATTAGGCACTCAGCATTTTTGAAAATAATATATTTTATTGATTATGCTATTACTGTTGTCCCATTTCCCCCCCTTTACTCCCCTCTACCCTGCACACCCCCTCCCACCCACACCCCCTCCACTTTAGTTCATGTCCATGGGTTGTACATATAAGTTCTTGGCTTCTACATTTCCTATACCATTCTTAACCTCCCCCTGTCTGTTTTCTACCTACCATTTATGCTACTTAATATCTGTACCCTTTTCCCCTCTCTCCCACTCCCACTCCCCTGTTGCTAACCCTCCATGTGATCTCCATTTCTGTGCTTCTGTTCCTGTTCTAGTTGTTTGCTTAGTTTCTTTTGGTTTTGCTTTAGGTGTGGTTGTTAATAATTGTGAGTTTGCTGTCATTTGACTGTTCACATTTTTTATCTTCTTTTTCTTAGATAGGTCCCTTTAACATTTCATATAATAATGGCTTGGTGATGATGAACTCCTTTAACTTGACCTTATCTGAAAAGCACTTTATCTGCCCTTCCATTTTAAATGAAAGCTTTGCTGGATAGAGCAATCTTGAATATAGGTCCTTGCCTTTCATGACTTGGAATACTTCTTTCCAGCCCCTTCTTGCCTGTAAGGTCTCTTTTGAGAAATCAGCTGACAGTCTGATGGGAACTCCTTTGTAGGTAACTGTCTCCTTATCTCTTGCTGCTTCTGGGATTCTCTCCTTCATTTTACTCTTAGCTAATGTAATTATGATGTGCCTTGGCATGTTCCTCCTTGGGTCCAACTTCTTTGGGACTCTCTGAGCTTCCTGGACTTCCTAGAAGTCTATTTTCTTTGCCAGATGAGGGAAGTTCTCCTTCATTATTTGTTCAAACAACTTTTCCACTCGTGGCTCTCCCTCTTCTCCTTCTGGTACCTCTATAATTTGGATGTTGGAACGTTTAAAGACCTACATGAGGAGAGACCTAAGCCCCTCCTCATTTTGAATTCCTATTTCTTCATTCTTTTCTGGTTGGATGTTTCTTTCTTCCTTCTGGTCCACACCATTGATCTGAGTCCCAGTTTCCTTCCCATCACTGTTGGATCCCTGTACATTTTCCTTTATTTCACTCAGCATGACCTTCATTTTTTCATTTAATTTGTGACCAAACTCAACCAATTCTGTGAGCATCCTGATCATCAGTGTTTTGAACTGTGCTTCTGATAGGTTGGCTATCTCTTTGTCGCTTAATTGTATTTTTTTCTGAAACTTTGATCTGTTCTTCCATTTGGGCCATTTTTTTTTTTTTTTGTCTTGGCTCACCTGACCTAAGAAAGGTTAAGTGCCTAAGGCAGTTTCTGCTGAAAGGACTGATGCACCCGACTCACTCGAGTGACTCAGAACACGCAGGTAAAAATACTGGAGTAACTCGTCCCAGTGTAAAGTCTACCTGCATCCACACAACTCTGGTTTCTTAGAAGAAAGTATATTTGTGGTGGAAGGGATCACAGATCTTTTCTTTC